CCAAGATTACATTTCTCATAATTGTTCTCTGTTGTCTGTAGATAAGAGGCTGTTATTTGAGCTGTCTATGGATGTAAGTCAGTTAAAGGGAAAGCGTTCACTTTTAACCGATAAATGGAAGAGGAACAGTCTTTAAATATGTAAAAAATATTGCATTAATTATTTTAAATCATTTGTGTGATGGCTACTCCTCCTCTTGTTGCTGTCTTCCTTAGCAATTCCTTTCAATCTTTCCTTCATTGCTCTCTCATCTAAGACGCTCTCTCAAAAGAATAACGGACTCATTTTCATCTTCTGCCCACCGATTTGCTTTCTGCATTTCTGTGCAGTTGTTGAACAACTTTCTCCAATAAATATCTCTTTGTAACTCCTTCTATTGACATATGCAATTTATAAAGTTGCTCTGGACTTTTTCTTAACATGGAAAATATTGCAAATCTTGAAAAGTCGCAGCCAGAAGTGTTTTGTTTTGTTTTGTTTTGGGTGTGTTCCCCCAAAAGCGATTTAAATGTTAATAGAGGAGCGAAAACCCGAAAGAAAACAAACAAAACAGGCACCAAAAAAAAAACGAAATTTACAACATCGCGAATTTTGCTAAACTCTTGCGAAAGGGAAAAGGACTTGGAACAGCAAGGGAAATTTTTGCTGGTTCTGGTACTCAATGCAGGGAGAAGGACTGTGGGTGCTACTTGCTGCCATTCCCCAAAATATATTTGCATAAAATTCATAACATATGCCCCAACACAGGCGTCAGAGGTGCCGCTCTGACTCTGACTATGGCCCCTGTTGCCGAGAGTGCCCGAAGTCAGGGTCCGGTGCATGGGTGCTAGGTGCTGGGTCCTGCCATAAGCGCCCGTAAGTAGGCAACGAACGGTAAACAACTCCGCTCACGTTTCTGCTGGTGCTGCTCCCCGCCTTCCCCCTTCGTGTCGTTCTCATCATCATATTTGCTGTATGAAGAAAGCAAAGTAAATAAATAGACTTGTGTGAAAAAGCCGATGAAACAGTTGGATAACAAGTGGGAAAGCCTCCAGAAAGAGAGAAACAGACAGCGAGAGAGAGAGAGAGACAGCCTTCCTCGATTTACAGGAAAAAAAAAACGAAAATAAAATTGAAAATTCTTCAGGGGCAACACCAACGATGGCCACTGTAAGTTTTCGCTATCCCCATAAGCTGTCGATGAGCAGGAGAGTGCGAGGGGTGGCTGAAGTTCCTTTGGGATATGCGTGCGATATATTCCAACTATTTTTGAGGGGGAAACTATGGAAAATATTCTTAATTTACCTACAGCACCTGAGGCGTTAAGGTGAAACATTCTGTTGGCTAGAGATTATTATGTCACTTTTTGCCACTGCTTAAATATTAAATATTCAGCAATAGCTGGGAATACTACCTGTTTTTCTTTGTTAACATCCACCTCATATATTTCACTCATTCAATTCGTGCCTCTTTGCTCAATGTTGTGCGGCCGAGTCTATGTTTGAGCGGCACTGTTAGCAGAATTCTTTCACTCAATTTATAATTTAATGCATGCCACCGGACTAAAACCAAAAAGTCAAAATTCAAAATGCAAATAAACGAAAAGCCAAAACACACCGAGGATGGCAAGCAGAGAAAAGACAAATTACTGTAGCTTTAGATTAAATGGACGCACATTAAAGCAGACACACACACACGCACAACTGTAGAGGGGGGGAGGGCTGCCACATAGATACATATATAAGTTAAGCAATAGCCCGAAACCGAAAAGGCGGCCCAAACAGCAGCAGAACCGAACTTTGTCATGCTTCTTCTCCGGCAGTGTCTCTTCCATTCCCATTTATTTGTGCTCTCTTCCCTCTTTTTGGGTGACGTGCATAAACTATTTGCGAGCACTGTGTGTGTGGGGGGAACTTCTACCGAAATAAAATAATTAAATGTTTGTTGTCTCTCCTGTGGCTCTGGCTCTGGCTCTGTCTCTGGCGCTCGCTCTCCTTCAGTTGAGATGTTAACAAAATTTATAAGACAAATAAATTTTAGCAGCAGCAACAGACAAAAAAATAACACCCAAAGGCAGCAGATTTGTGGCTCGTTCACTCTGTCTCCCTCACACTCTCACTCTCTCTCTCTCTCTTTCTGGCTCTCTCTTCGGCTGGAAGTACAAAAAAAGGGTCAAATTTGTGCGTCTGTCGTTTGCAGTGGGTCCTGTCCGTTTCTTGTGACCAGAAAATTAATTTAACTGACACGTTTTTCATTCAGAAATGAAAAGTACATTTTGTCATAAATAAAATTCTGAGCTGCATTTATTGTGGAACGGGTGGAGAAGAAGGAGTTGATGATGTAAACACTTGAAGAACTTGTTGTGCTCCAAGAGAAAATATCCATGCACAGTTCTGCAAGCATTGGGAAGCTTGAAATAACTCTGAAGTAGCTGCACGTTACAGTTTGGTTACAGTTGCATTTCAACAACTTTTTACATTTTTACATTTCTTTGAGTGCAGACATTTGTTGGTGCCTGGCTTCTCTAAGCCCAACTCACTTGTGTGTGTTTCAAGTTGCAAATTTTCCATAAGAATACGCCCAAAAGGACATCGTTGTGCTGTGGCAGTCTCAGGTTAAGTGAATCTAAGCGCTGCACTCCAAAGCCCAGCCAAGCAGACGCCACCGCAGTTCCTCTCAGTTCTACAAATGGCCGACAGACTCTGGGATGCCGACGACTGCCGACAAGATGTGTCGCGTCGCGTCGCATCTTCCATAATCCCCGTCCATGTGTGGGTGTGTGTGGGGAAGGGGCGACGGTGCCTTTTGCATAATCAGAAGCCGAGTGACAGTCACTCCTACCTGAGGTGCACACATGCATGCATATATTTTACATTGGTGCATACATAAATACATACGTACATATGTGACAGCGTATGCTTATGTGGGTGTTACATCAGGCTTGTTTTAAGTTTTAACATTTACCGTTTCATACTTGTGTTCTGAGATTCGCTTGCAAAAGTATGCAACTAATTTTGTGTATTTGTTCTCTGCTCTGCTTTCAGGTACTGCAACTTATACTTTTTTAACCAACACAGCTACACACTCTCACCCTCACACACACACACACAGCAGACATACTCAAGCAATAAAAGACTCCAAACAGATGTAACTATAGAACTGTTAAAACTCAAAGAAAACACGATCAAAATTCCCTAGGAAACAAATCAAATCAGCATTTACCAAGCAAGAAGTCTGTTAAAGGGAATCCAATTGAAAAGACATTGAATCAAATATCTATATTTTGATAATACATAAGAGGAGTACCAACAGCAACAACAACAACGAATAGATTGCATGCCTGTGCTAGTGCTTGTAAAACAGCTTGCAAGATCAGGGCACTAACAGAGTATAAAAGAGGAGAGAGAGCCTGCCCATCAAGACGACGGAAGCCTTAACAGTCACTCAGCAGAACGGAGGCAGCAAAATGTTGCCAGCAACAACAACAGCAACAGCAACAGCAGCGCCGAGTGACTCCAACAACACAAACACAAACAACTATAACAACAAATACAACCACAAAGCGCCTTTTCAACGTCGCTGCTGTCAGAGAAGCAAAATTACAACGATAACATAAGAAAGAGATAATAACAAAAAGAGAGCACAGCACAGAGAGAGAAATCAAACTTGCAGTTTCGGTTCACTGTTCACCGTTTTCCCTTTACCCTTCCCCCCACCCTACCGCACTCCTCTTTCACACCTTTTCGCCCTCTTGTTTGCAATTTGCGATTTTTGTTGTTGTTGTGTGTGCAGTGCTGGTGCGGGGGTGCTCCGTGTGCCTGCGTGCGTTAGCGCTGGCCTTGCTAGGCGCCTGGCCTGCCTGTGTGCCCTCTCAGGGGAGAATTTAATTATTTTATTTGTGTTAAGCTCGCGTTATGGCCCAACAGCAGCAGCAACAGCAACAACAACAACACCTACAACACCCACACCAAAACACCAACAATCAACTGCAGCAGCTACAGCTACAGCAGCAGCTACAACTACAGCTACAGCTACAGCAGCTACAAGAACAGCAAGAACAACAACAACAAGAGCTACAGCTACAGCAATACAATAACAATTTCTACAGCCAAAATTATAAGTAAGTTTTAGAATCACTGGCTGCACACGCGCTCTCTCTCTCTCTCTTTCTCTCTGTGTCTATTTCTCTGCCTATGAATGTTTGTTGTTCGTGTCTCTTGTCTCTGTTTATGCGTGTTTGTTCTTAAGTACATGTGCACTCTACCACTAACCTACCCTCAGAGCTCTTTGGCGCTTTTAAATGGAAATCAAATCAAATGCAAACAAAAGCATGCGCCGTCCCCCCTGCACAGTTCACCTGCACGGGCAATATTTCCTTGCAAAAATTGCAACACCCAGAAGCCGTGTGTGTGCATGCAAAACTGTTGACAAATGCTAGCTTGATTCTGTCAAACCATCGGCAGTCAAAGGGTGGGTGATGACATCGTATTTGATCGATATTACGTTCAGTTTGTACGTGCATAAATCCGAGACAAAACTCTAAGGAGATAACTAACCTTTAATCTTTATTTATTACAAGTATACAAATGTTTGTGTACTCTCTTATGCACTCGTTTTAATCAATGTAAATATTGTAACATGTTTGTCTGTACGTAACCCCTGCTTAAGCACATATTGAACGGCAGGTATGTAAACGTATTCCTGCCCCCGAAAACATTTTACACGTTGCCACGCAGTGCATGTTAAACTGTTTGTGCATAGGGGGAATGTCGGGAAACGTGAAACACCTGACGTGACTGTTCCGTTGTTACGTTCCTGTTTGTTCGCCTAATGTTTGTCGTTCGTGTTGTTGTTGTTCTGCCTGTGTGACATCTGTTTGTTGTTCTAATTGTTGTTGTTGTTCTAACTGCACCCAAAATAATGTATTAAGAGGGAATATAAACCAATCACATACTCTGTAGACTTTGTGTCACTTTTTTGTCATGTAAAAAATTTGTAATTCGTTTTTCTTTGTACTACAGCATGGAGGAATACGAGCGACGAAAGCGACGAGAACGTGAGAAAATAGAACGGCAACAGGGGATACAGATCGATGATCGGGAGACGGCTCTCTTTAGCGAGCCGCGACGATTGACGGAGGGAGATGCAGAGATTACGGCCGCCCTGGGGGAGTTTATCGATGCGAGGGTGTACATCAATCAGTCAACGGTGGGGATTAGTCGGCACGCGCCCGGCGCCGGCAATCCGCGTCTGCAGGCACCGCCGCCGCCGCCCAAAACTCTCGGCCATTCCCACTCACCCTCCTCCTCCGCGTCCGCCTCCGGCTCAGCGCTGCCCGGCCAGAGCCAGCAGCAGCAACAGAAGCCGCACTACCAGCAGCAACAGCAGCAGCAGCAGCAACGACCTCCAGGCTATCTGAAGCAGGCGGACAACAAGCCGCCGTACAATGGACGCGGCGGCTACCCAGGGCAGCCGATGAAGAACGATATACCCTCGAGTAGTGGCATGGCCCCGCCTCGGGGACCGCCCAGATCTGGTCCTGGCTCCGGCTCCAACTCCAGCAGCAACTCGTCCAGCGCCACAAACAATGCCACCGGCGGAGCCGCCGGCACGACTCCCCTGGGTCCGCCCCTGTCCACGCAGATGCCCAATGGGCGGGAGAAATCATTTCTGGGACCACCGGCGCCAGCGCTGCACAACGGTGCTGGACTCTTTGTGCCTCCAGCGGCAAGCAAGCGGCCCAGCAGCGGCCCCGGACTGCAGCCGCCCCCGCCAGAGGTGAGTTCTTGAGATTGATGCTGCTTCTAAAGGTTCCTTTCTAACCTCTCTTTCCATCATCCATCCACAGAAGGACATCAGCAAGATGATCAGCGAGATGACGAACAGCTTTCGTGTGACGGCACCACTGACGTCGATAGCGGCCACACCGCACGCTCCGACGCGAGAGAACTACAACCTGAACGGTCCCAACACAAACAAATATGCCTTTGGGCCGATTGGCTCACCGCCCATCGGCTCCCAGCCCTCGTCCCTGATGACACCGCTGTTCCCGCCCATTGCGCCCATTGCCTCGCCCATTACCTCCCTGCTGACGACACCGCCGCACGCTAGTCAGCTGCCCCAGGGCGGCGTGAGCCCCGTGGCGCCAATGCAACAACTGCCGCCGACACCGCCCAAGGCTGCGTCCGCACTCTCACCGCAAGCAGCGGCCAAGCCGCTCAAGACGGAGAAGAATCACACGCTGGAGAAGCAGGACTCATGGTAAGAGATGGGAGATTTTCCTTTACTTTTCTTTCGATATTTAAACGTCATTGTTGCAGCCTCGAGAACGATCTGGAGCTGTCCGAGTCGGAGGACGAGCAGCGCAAGAAGGAGAGGTGAGTGGGCTGTGGCTCTTGTTGGATTCTCAATCTTAATGTACTCAAATTTTTACAGCAGATCGGCGGGGAATAGCAGCAACAGCTCCGAGTCGGATTCCAGCGAATCGGGCAGCGAGTCTAGCTGCAAGGGCGAACATCAGCAGCAGCCACATCTCCATCACAATCATCACCAGCAGCAGCAGCAGCAGCAGCAGCAACAGCAACAGCAACACCTGCAACAGCAGCAACAGCTCCTCCAGCAGAAGCAGCAGCAGCAACAGCTCCTTCAGCAGCAGCAGCAGCAACATCAGCGACAACTGACGGCGAATGGCAGCAAGAAAAAGTACAGCCACTCCATCATTGCTGGCGGTGGAAGCACCATAAGTGGACTGCTGACTTCGAGTGGATTTGGCAGCGGAGGAGGTGGCAATGGCGCAGGCACCACAGTGAGCACTGGCGGTGGGAGCAGCGGATCGGGCGGTGGTTCAGGCAGCGGCTCGGGCATTGGGACCATGAGCAGCGGCAGCTCCTCGAACAAGACACCCTCGCCCACGGAGAGCAACAAGTGGACGCTGAGTCGCTTCTTTCCCAAGCCCGCCAATCAGACCAGCTCGGAGAGTGTCTCGCCGGGGAATGTGAGCATGAAGGTGCCTGGCATACTGCCGGGCGGTGCTCAGATCATACCCGAGTCCATTGAGGTGACCACGGCCATTGTGAAGAACGAGAAGATCCACGACGATCACATGGACATGGACGATGTCGAGGAGGAGGACGAGGATGAGGAGCAACTGCAGCAGCAGCAGCAACAGCTGCGCTACGGCGCCGGACTGAGCGTCACACCCGTGGCGGTGGCCGTCAAGAAGGAGGCTCTGGACGGTGTGGGGGAGTTGGGCGGTCTGCCGGCAATACCAAAAAATCAGATAAAACGGGAAGCGGAAGCCCTGCACTCCGCGGCCGTCGCCGCCGCCGCCGCAGCCCGTCTATCGGACTCCGGGACCAGTGGCAGCGTCAGCAGCTCCAGCAGCAGCAGCAGCTCGGACAGTGCGCCCGGCGAGGTGGTGCCGATGCCGGGACCAGGCGAGACGCTGCAGCTGCCGGGCGTGCCTGCTGCCATTACGACGGTGATGCGGGTGCCTCCGACACTGATGCAGAAGGCGCCACCGAATAGTGTCACGCTCACGCCCATTATGCCGCTACCCGCCTCGCCCAAGCAGCGTCAGAAGAAGCCGCGCAAGAAGAAGCCCGCCACCAGTGCGCCCATCCTTGACTCCAGCGACGAGGATGAGCCGCCCACTGCCAAGCATGTCCTGGAATTGTCAGCAGCGGCAGTGGCTGCGGCGGCAGCTCAGGCTCAAGCGGCAACGATTCCGCCGCTGGCCGTGAAGAAGGGACGTGGCAGGCCCAGAAAGCAGCAGCAGAGCGGCGGCAGTGGGAACCTGAGCAGTGCCTCGGCCGGCAGCAGCTCCCAGACCAAGGGACCCACGTTGACGGCCGCCAAGAAGCCGCTGGCCAAGGGCCTCGCCATGGCCAACTCAAGGAAGCGCGATCATTCCAGCCAGAGCAGCTCCAACGGCAACACGCCCACAAAGAAGCTGGCCATGGGCACGGGAGCCATGACTGGAGCAGCCATGACAATGCCCCTGGCAGTGATGCCTTTAGGTTCGGGGAATGCTGCCAGCAGCAGCTCCGACGAGGACAGCTCGTCAAGCAGCAGTTCCACTGGCTCCAAGTCGAGCAGCTCATCGAACAGCAGCGACGACACAGAGACCACCAACCAGAACATAAAGTGTCGCATTGTGAAGCTGAACAAAACGGGCGCAGTGCCGCCACAGGCACGCTTGGGAGTGGGTGCCAGTGCGAGTGCGAGTGCGGGAGGAGCTAGTGGGAGCAGCTCACCGAGCAGCGGCATCAGCGAGCCAGGGGATCATCATCTGGCCATGAGCACGGTCAGCGCTTTGCCCATGGCCCAGCAGTTGATGCAGCCGCACAAGCCGCGAGCCAGCGTCAGTCAGCACAGCCAGCAGCTGAGCAGCTCCGAGTCGTCCTCGTCGAGCGGCAGCAGCACCAGCGGCGACGAGGATGAGGCCAAGCGGGAGAAGGAGCGAGAGCGCAAGCGGAAGAGCGACAAGAACAAAATCAACACGCTGACGCGCATCTTCAATCCCAAGGAGGGTGGCGCCAAGAAGCAGGGCCAGGTGGTAATTATGGACCAGTCGGAGGAGCAGCAACAAGTCAGCAAGGCTGTGGACTCCGCCTCCCAGCCAGTGCCCATGCAGCCGGCGGCCAAGCCCCGCATGACGCCCACGCAGCAGCTGCAGCAACTGGGCGCAGGCCTCGCCTCCCCGGCACGCACCACGACGCCTCATCTGACATCGCTGATATGCAAGATTGACCTGAGCAAGCTCTCCCGCGAGCGGATAATGCGCCTGAAGAAGCTGACACCCTCCCAGCAGAATGGACACTTGACGCCCAAGGATCTGGGCACGACACAGCCGCAGGTGCAGGTACAGTCAGTGCAGGTTTCGGCGCCGCATTTAACACCCAACGGCTATGCCGGAGATGGGCAGGGACTGCCCGCAAAGGTGAAGCACGAGCATGCGCATGCGGTCAAGCCAGAGCCAGAGCTGGATGCCGGCTACGAGAGCAAGTTTAAGCCCGGCAATGTGAAGCAGGAGTTTCAGCTTAAGCAGGAGCGAGAACGAGACCGAGAGCGAGAGAGGGAGCGAGAGCGGGAAAGGGAACGAGAGCGAGAACAGCCAGCAGGAGGAGGGCGTCGGCGCAAGCGCAGCTCTAGCTCCAGCTCCAGTCCGTACAAGGAGAAGAAGCGGAAAAAGGAGAAGTCCGACCATCTGCCGATCAGCAAGGATCAGCTGCTGCCTGTGCCTGTTCTGCTGCCTTCCAACAATCACGAGCGAATGTCCTGCCACGAGCGGCTGTCCTTTGACAAGCTGCAGCTGCTGCACGAAGACGCTGCTGCTGCCGCAGCCGCCGCAGCTGGTGCTGTCTCTGCCCCGAATGGCAGTCCCAGCAAGAAGCTGCTGGCCATGTCACCGCTACCGCCTCCACCAACAGCCGCCGCAGCCGTGCCCCTGCCCATTGTGGCGCCCACCACATGCAGCGAAGCTGTGCAGACAACGCCACCGTCGACAGTGGCCACAGCCACAGCGGCCACCTCGACGACGGGCAACTCCACGGCACCACCAGCGCCCATCATGCGTCCCATATACCGCTCGTACTTTGATCGTGAGGAAGAGCCGCACAGCGATGATCACAGGTAAGCATGTGCCTTAAGCATCAATTTGTGTTCAGCCAAACTGAGCGACTCCAAACTCCTCTTGTCCGTAGAAAAAACAATCAGTTCCTCTCGGAGGCCGTCACGCGGAAGCATGCCGCCGACTCGGAGCGCGACTCCTTCAATCAGGTTACCCTCTATTTGGAGGCCGTTGTCTACTTCCTACTCACCGCCGATTCCATGGAACGCTACAGCTCGGAGCAGGCCACATGGACCATATATAAGGACACCCTGTCGCTAATTAAGTGAGTAATGTGTGCCAACAAAAAGGGAATTTGCAGGGAAAGACACCCGTCTGTAGACATGCTTAACCTATTAAACTTTTCCCTTTGTGTTGCAGATTCATTTCCTCTAAGTTTCGTCCATACCAACAGTCAACGAACGGACAGCACGAAACGCACAACAAAGTGGCCATACTCAGGTGAGGAATGCCTAAGCTTTCACCCCTTTCTGAATGTTTATAATGATACCCAATCCATCTACAGTTTGCGCTGCCAGTCGTTGATATCGCTAAAGCTGTACAAGCTGCGACGAGCCAATTGCCGCACTGTGATCAACAGCTTAACGGAGTTCTTTCGCACCGGCAGGGGGGACATTGTCAATGGCAATACGCCATCCTCCATATCACCATCGAACTCGGTGGGCTCACAGGTAAGAACCGAACAACCGAAACCTACTTGAATGACATTAATCTGTTGTTTTTCTGTGCATTTGCAGGGCTCCGGTTCGAATACGCCGCCAGGTAAAATAGTGCCTCAAGAAATACACACACAGCTGTGGAAGCAGAATGAGTATCTGACGTATGTGAATAGTGCTCACGAGTTGTGGGATCAAGCCGATCGTTTGGTGCGCACAGGCAATCATATAGGTGAGTGGAAGAGAGGCTAAAGCTGATCCAATTAATACCAATCAATCCTGCCACACAGATTTCTTCCGTGAACTGGACCATGAGAATGGCCCCCTGACGCTGCATAGCACCATGCCTGAGGTGTTTCGGTATGTGCAGGCGGGCCTCAAGACGCTCAGGGATGCTGTATCGCAGCCGGGGCAACAGACGCAGCATCAGTCGCACTAGCGGCAGCAGGAACAGCCGCAAAGGGAACGAAAGCGGAAAAGGAAATGGAAGCAGAAGGAGCAGGAGCAGGAGCAGGAGCAGCAGAACCACCACCAAACGTGTCTAAATGAAAGTCAGGCCAAATTTGCAACTATTATACACTACAAGCTACTAATTTAGTTAATCAAGCAAACACCTACACTACACTACACAACATTACACTACACCACACACGGAACGAAACTAAATGGAATAATCCAAGAACCTTCCAGCAGAACAGCAAGAAGCGAATCAACCCCAAATCAACCACAATCAACCCAACCAACAGCAACACAACAATGATGATTTGTTAATATAATTTATAGTTTTATATTGTATGTATGTATGTATGTATGTATGTATGTAATTTGTATATGCACATCAATTACTTATTTCCTTATGCTCAATTTTCGATTGTTTTGTAAGCATGTTAAGCTTTATATTTATGCTTAGTTTTAATTGATATTACCACACACACCACAACACACATACACATACACATACACATACACACAAACACACACACACACACTAAAAGTTATATTAGGTATATGTCTAGACTGTAAGCTCAACCCAACCAACCCACAATATGACCTTCCTATAGTCTACCCACATGATGAACATTTTAGTTGAATTATTGTTTTCGTATGCGCGTCAAGAGTTAAAGAAAAAGAATGGCTTTTTTAATTGTTTAAGTTTTAGTTAATTTTTTTGCTCTGGCAAAGAGCGTGTAACCGATCGATCGTGTTAGCCAATATATATTTGTATATGCATAATTATTGCGCCTATACAGGAAGCAAACAAGTTATAGTTATAAATTCCTTGTAATATTTTTATTGATTATGAATTATGTTTAGTGCAACTATTTTATTGATTTTAAATGTAATTTTTTTTAAAAAGCAATCACAAGAACCGTTTTTAGAACAAAATACATGAAAGAAAATAAGATATATATGTATGTATACATATATGTATATTGCAAATACATACATATATCATCGTATATGGAAAATTTAAGATTTGTTTCGTTTTATTTTGGATTTGATTTATTATTAATTATTACCAGCTCCTTACTACCGCTCCCCGCTCCCCGAACCCCGAACTCATCCCACCCACACTTTTGATCCACTTTGACTCAACTTATACTTAATGGGTGCCTCAGACTCTCCACACAGACGCAACAAAAAATAGTGCATTAGTAGAATTAAACGAGTTAAAAATCAATTGAAATAGACTTGCCCTCAAATCGATATACTTATACATATATTAACTGTACATATAGCAGCCTATATACACTCGAACATATACAACATGCGATATACTCGTACATATACATACATACATACATATATCTATATATATACATATATATATATATATATGTATATTTTTAATATGCCAAACAAAAGCGGAATGCAATAAAAACTACTTTAAGCCGTAAAAAAACCAATCAGCTGGCACAAGTGGGCTACGATCTCCACATTTCCACAACTCAAGATCCTGTGAAGAGATGTGAGCAAATGGGTTTTCGGGTGTGGTGGGTTGGGGATCTGCCCAATGTGCTGGCCGCGTTTTGTTGTTGACTCTTTTTGGCATAGAACGAGAAGCGAAATCGAAAACGAAAAATCACGAAAATCAAAGCGAAAAACGTATGTAACGAAAAACCAAAATGAAAAACTTTATAACACAAATATGTATTATTAAATATGGTTCTGGGGAAACAAAAGCATTTCACTTTCAACAAATGAAACAAAAGAAAATAAAACCAATTAAATCGTAGACAAATTTAAGTTACCGAACACTGGAACGGGTTGGCGAAGAGTGGGCAAAGTGGAAGCGCAATTTTATTGTGCAATGCAACTAAGTGTAATTATTATAAATTAAAATACATACAGACCAACGTACATACAGATGTATGTATCTACTGTATATGCATTGTTAATAATTCTCAAAATGCTGTAAATAGTAGTACACGGAGATACGAGCCTACACATGCATAATACATACAGACACATAGACACATACATCGTACATACATAAACATAGAAGATGCATTCGAATCACATTCATATATTGGCATAAATACATATAAATAAATATATATATTTTTATATATATAAAGAATACTAAACGACATAGTAAATATACATAGTAAAATTTTTTCAAAATGACAAGATCAACTTGCAGCCATAAGCAAACAGTAAAACACCAACAACAACAACAACAACCACAAAAGAAAACAAAACAACCAACAAACGAAATGCGCCTAGAAATAGTTAATAATTATATTTTGTTAAGCGTTATTATAGTGAAAAACAAAACAAAACAAAGAAAAGAAATCGAGTAAACCACAGAATTAAGTTTTAGGCTCTGTCCCATTATTCGAATGTGAAGCAACGGCAGACACCAAAAACGAATGCAAAAACACGAAGTTGTTCATTAACAAAGTAAACGTAAAAGTAACGGTAATGGTAACGGTAAAGGTAAAGGTAAAGGTAAATATATATATATATATTTTGTACAAATATAATTAAAGAAAACAAAAAAGGAAAGAACACAAAAACAAAATGAAAAACAACCGCGGCAGCAGCAGCTAAACCAAGTACACTTATTAAAGTTTAAGCAACAACAACAACAACAAAACAACCAATTTAATATGCAATTACCGTAACAGTAGTTGATAAATCAAACGAATAAAACATCAAAACATTGTAACATTTAATAACGCCCGCCCCCAAAAGTAGTTTCATTTATAATGTCGGCGAGAACTTTTAGACGACGGGCAAAAGTTGGTCATTCGTTTCAGCTGCGGACAGATCATCACCAGTTATCGCCAACGATCTGCAAAAGTTGTTTCTGATCTACATCGCCAAGACTAGACCAAGGATCTATCGATTGATTCACTCAAGTCACTAACCAAATAGTATAGTAGATTGTTAATTTCTTGGAACGTCACCGCGCAGAATGCGCGTCGCGAAGTCCCAGGCCTCTGCCAGCGTCGCAGCTACAAGTATTAGTGCGTGTAGAGCACGCAGCCAGAAGTCCCAGCTACATTTGTATAGGTGCGTGTAGGCAATGATTTTTAGCGCTCCAAGCCGGGTTTGTCTTGATTCACACAGACACGGCAAGTAATGTATGTGTTGGTGCGCTGACTTTCTGAAGTGCGATGGAACGAAAACTCGTTTTGATGATTTGATTTTGTTTTCGGGGCTTGGCGTATGAACCTGACCTACCGCAACATATGCAGAGTGAGGAGTGGGGGTTGGTGGCCGGACCTTTGGGGGTTGGAAAAAATAAATATACCTATAAAAGTTGTTATTGTAATTGTATGCTGTAATTGTTTTATATGTAGATTTTATACTGCTTTATTCAAAATTGTATGCATATATTATGGAAACGCCTTCGCTTCTCGACTTCGTTGCTGTCGTATTATCAACATTGTTAGCAAATCCATATTTTACAGACAAATCTTTTCAGATAAATATAAAAACATATATATGTATATATGTATAAACATATATATGTATATACATCTTTCCAATTTCTGTTCTCGTCGTCGGTTATGTTCTCGACTTCATGTGCGCTTTAATTGTACTATTTGGTTAGTGGCTCAAGTTTAGAAGAACTCATCGATAGTTTCGGTAGTGGCCGTGGGGGTACTCCTGCTATTTGTAAGGAAATAAAGAAGCGCACATATGAGAATTGGTAACAATTCAAATACATGGATGTCTTTCGTGGAATAGAATATTGTCATAATCGTTTGATCCCGAACAGTTTTTGTTTTGTTTTCAATTCCAGTTATGTTTGTATGTATGCGTTTTCTAAGTGCACGCACTAATTTTACAAGGTGTCCTGGTCAAGCGATCGTATCGATGTAAGTGATCGACATAAGCTTATCGATACTTTGGCCCACCACTGGCGACGCGCAAAGGTTCATATTTTTCCCACCAACGTGCGGCCAATTCCGGCAATTTCATTTTGTTCTCAGGTCTTAGCACTTAGGTTTGGATTAGTTGTAGTTACGAAACTACTCATTAAAATGTCCGAGCCCGACCATAACCTCTGCCGCTAAAATTGGCCAGGCAGAACGCACTAATGAGACTCAAGAAAAGCGGCCGCAGAGTGCGACTGCCTTCAAAACTGAAGAAAGGAAAGGAATTTTTGTTTATTCCCGCAGTGTTTTCATGTGTCGTTCGGGGTCCCCGTATATGTATGACCTCGTTGCCACAAGTGAGCAATCTTTTGACTCGTGCCCTGAGTACTTGTCTTAGCAGTGATCAAGTATTAATTAATACCAAGACCTCAGACACCTCATGGAAACTTGGAAACTTCGCCTTCAACGTAAGCGTGCTAAAATTAGTAAGCAATCCGTAAACAATATCCCCAAACTTTAGAATCACCAGCTTTTAAGAAGGACCCGCCTCCAACCTGCATCGTGCAAGTGAAGAAGAAGCACCCTCAGGCCTAGATGCCACAAAAATTCAAATGTATGAATGTGCACCGCCCCTACGACTCTTTTCAAAAATTATCCAAGACACGTGTTTGTTGAACGTGCTCGTTGAAGTTTAAAAGCACTGGATGCGTACAGAAGACTCCATGTAAGTTGATCCACAGGCATCAGTCTCGACGCGCAAATCCAACTATTATTAAAACCTACATACATACATGCATAAACTTACAGTTGTAAGGTAGCTGCAGTGAGAAATGGTTTATTATGAATTGGCTCATCGTGTTCAGGTTGTTTTAAAAGTGCATATACATATGCCCAACACATATGCATGTATGTCTGTACATCTGTAAGCAAAATGGTAACAAAACACGCCACACAAAGAAGACAAGAGCAGAGTTTGTTGCATACATGCGGGTGAAAGGGATGGGGGCTGAGTTCCGAGTATTTGTGGGTGGGTTGTGTAGGGTGTATGAGGGGTGGGGATTTGCTCGCAGAGTTCAATGGTCTTTTGACACAAATGATGTCAAGTTGAGCTTGCTGCTCGTTCGCTCGCTCTCTCAATTCCCTTCTAGCCTCTCTTGCAGACCTTCAGGTCAGCTGCCTTGCATTTGTTGCTATTTAACTGTTTGTTTGGGTGCCTTTTTGGCTGCTCTTTTCCGATGCGATGGATATGCCGTTACGGCCGGCTTGAGATGCTCGGGCGGTCGTGTCGCTCTCTCTCTCTCTCTCTCTCTCTCTCACTTGCTCTCTCGAAACGAAGAACCTACCGCAATTTGTTTCGTGTTCGTCGGTATTGCTGGCTGCATTTCCTTGTTTATGTTTTGCGAACAAATGTAGGGTATTCGGCTAAAAGACGAAGCGTGACACTGCAGAGCAGCTGAAACTGTAAAGAGAATAACTAATTTATGTGAATGAGAGAGAGAGAGAGGACTCTATCGTTATTTAGTGCAGCGCTTTCGATGCGCCGTGGCTGCTTCTGCCTGTACCTGCGCAATTTTGAGCTGCATCTTCTTGTTATTGTTGGAGCTGCCGCCTCGCTCTTCTCATATGGTACAATGTGACAAAAAATCATGAATATTGCACCAAGTGTAAATGATATTTGGGTACAGCTGAACATGGTTTTATCCTCTTAACTTGTTTATTATGATGGGCCATTTTGAATGATCGAGCTAAGTTAATTTATAAGCTAATGCCTTGCTTTTAATTGGCCGCATATTCAATATTGTGCTACCGTTGTCGTACATATTTACATTAAAATAGACATTAGATTTGTTGCGGGTGCAGTTTTTGTTCCACCGTGCATGGCAATGCAAAAACTACGCAGTTGTTATGCCTTTGCTCTCTCACGTACTCAACTGTACGCCGTAATGGAATTATATGGTGGTGTATTCCCTCTCTTTCGGGTCTTGCCGTACTCACAAACTTTCAATCACAACGAAGTTTTCTGCTGTTTTTGCTGTTGTACTGAGAAAATAGGCAACGGCAGGAGAGGGCTTTGAGGGAATTCACCGCCTTGTAGCATCGTGGGCAGAGCGAGAGGCAGCGCTGCTTCTGCTGCTGCTAGTACTGATACTGGTGCAGCGGGCAGCGCAGTCTCGAGTCCTGGCTGCATTTATCCTGGCGGCAGTTGAACACCATTTAGTTCTTGCACTCTCCGGCGCAAGTTGTGTTTTTTGATTCTCGTCGTTTATAAATTGTTGTATATCGGTATCAAAATACACACATCTAGCATACTCACGCAACCAGCCATACACACATCTTCGTAATGCAATTTACATATGAATATCTAAACATGAATATATAGTGCTATATGTATCGGAATAAGTTCGAAAAATCTTCAAATGTGTGTGTGTACGTGCTCAACTAGTTTTTAAAACTCATTTGCAACGAACAAAATTCTCAAGTTTTTCAAAAACGAAAAGTTGTGAAATCAGTGAGGAATATTTTGCGGCGTCGACGAGCCAAGTAAGAAAATGGGGAAATTAACGGGGTTCCGCAATTACATTTTACATTTTTCTCCCCATGCAAAAAATGCCCACACCCAAAGTCGATTTTTCACTTTGCATATAGCAGAGTAAAAAACCACCTCCCCCTCAGCAAACTGCCCATAGCCCTCAGCCCTCGTATCAGGCGATAGTAAAACGGGGCTCAATGGGGGGCTCTCTGTCGTCAGAATCGCAATTTCTCTACACTCTGATATGTATTTGCCGCCTACACACAGCCATACTCACACAGATACACAACTAACTGCACACTCATGAACAAAGCTGCGTTTCTTGCAGCGCCGGCCGCTGCCTGCAGTCGCCATTTAACCTAAAAAAAACGACGTTGATCCAGGAGCGGACACTGCCTGGTGAAGGCAGGATGTTTGGGGGCCTTCTGCAGAAAAGCTTCGCAGAACTTAGAACTATTTTTTATTTTATTAACGTTTGATAAGATTTACTTTTACCCCATATATTATACACACAATATGTGCGTACATACATACATATGTACATGAAACTTCATGTCGAAGAGCACAGGATGCACAGAGCCCCGGGTTTTGGCAGCCTGATTCGGTAACTGTTACACCAGCACACCCCTGTGTTGGCGCTGACGTTAGCGTCAAAGTCAACGTCAGCTTGCAGCTAAGCTTGCTCTCTGAGCTTGTGTGTTCCTGCTCTCGCACTCTCTGGTGCAGGCTCTCCCTACCGCTTGGGACTTGCATATCTTGTGGCGCGCTCAGCTGACAGCTGACTGCGCTGCCTGCGCTTCTGCTGCAGTTTTTTCGTTTTTGCTCTCTCTCCTGTTTATTTTTGCCGCACCCAAATGCGAAGCGGCCTCCACTATTCAGCTTTGGACGTTCTTCTACTTTACTAGTCCTTCCGCTCCCTCTGTCTCGCTCTCTCTCACTGTTTCTCTCTTCCTATCTAAACTGAGGATTTGGCAAGGTGTGTCACTTTTTTGTTTTGTTCTTGCATTTTTAATGGCCCTTTTTCCCTGGCTGGCAAATGCATGCAAACATATTTACATATGTATGTAAATACAATATGTATGCAATTCTCTTTAGTTCCGCATCCAGGTACGGCTCTAACCCGGCCGTGAATCCATTAATTAGACTGCAGGAATTTTTAGCAATTTTTTCAAGAAAATTATTGGTTTGTGTTCCATTATGCGTGGGCGTGTTTTTATATGGAAAAGTGGCTAGAAGACAGTTGTTGGATGGACGGTACAAACTTCATATGATAAAAGCACTGATAATATGCAATATTATTATATGATAGATTTTACACATTTTTGCCATTACGAGCAGGTATTTCATTTATAAATTGCAGTCAGTTTTCTAACAGTGAATTTAAAAGCCATTAAATCAAGAACATTATTATAAACATACATACATATGTATGTTTTATATTGGAAATATAGCTCTTCAGTATCGAATGGATGTTTAATTTTCCGGAAGACAGCCAATTTGTGCTTAAGTCAATATGTAATAAAGAAGCAACTGTTTTGTTACCCCAGATTTGAACACCAACTGCAAATATTTTCAGCTGTTTAGTGCTAAGAATTCTTATTTGATTTCGAATGGTCATATCAAATGGGTTACCATTAAGGAATTTCAAGTAATTATGGTGAATCCAATTATAAATTACCTTTCTCCGCAGCCTCTAATATACAATCATATGTAAATAGATACATACGCACTCAAATGTATGTATTTGTATGTACACATATACATACATAGGTGGGTGATCCATTCCAAATGGATTTCTCTTCCCTTGCGTCGACAAAGAGCAAACATTCGACAAGTTGGCCAACTGCACAACAGTCAATAGTCTTTCTCTCTCTCTCTTACTCTCTCGTCGCTCTCCCGTTCCGTTCTCGGGGGCATAAAAATACTTTCCACGCCTCTCGCCAAATCATTTATTTCTGTTCTGTTGAGTTGCAGGAACGCGTTCTTTTCTACTTTCCGTTCGATTTTATTTCCTTATTATTATTATTATTGCTATTATTGTTATTACGAATTAGTTGCACGTTTCGGTTCGGTTCTGTTCTGTTTAGTTCGGTTTCTCCTTATTCCAACAGCCACGGCAACAAATTAAATTTTAACAATATAATAATAATCCCTCTAACTAACTAAAAATCTTCTCCTTACTTTCGGTTGTCGCTTTGTTATGGTTTTGCTTTCTTTCAATTCGGTTTCGCTTCGGTTCGGTTTGTGTCTCGGTTATTATTAAAATAAATATACATACTCGTAAAAGCAAACATCCATCCCACCAGAAAATTGTTTCGTAATCGCACTGAAATCGAAATCGTGCGAACCAGCAACAAGTTTTCCACGATCTGAGATCAGATCCGTCCAACATTCAACATCCAACAGGAAGAAAAGGTAACAAAGCCAGTGCCTGTGTCAGTGGGGCATCACTCGAGAATTTATATAAGTAATTCGGAAAATTATTTCAATGCAACAGTGTTTCCTTCAGCCAGGGGATTGAGAGGACAACTCTGCTAGCACTTAACCTCAAATATGCGTCGAGCAGCAGCAGCATATTCGACGTCATCACATCAGCTGCGATGCTTTTGTTGCTTTCAAATTATTTTCGAAAATACAATTATAATTTGTGCCGGCTACGCAGCACAGCATAAGTAGCTGGGATCTGCTCTCCTATTTCGTACATCCCAGAACTTGTTTGTTTATTTTTAAAATACTAGTTTCTCGCACGATTTACGCTGGCAAATGCAACAAAACTGCCAGCGCAATATGACTTTGGTGCTATCTAAAACGTACGAATGCAGGCAGTCATCAATCTTAAAAATGATTTACAATCAAATGAATCAAACTGTGTGTGATTCAGATTGAATCACAATTTACCCCCGAAAAACTCAAAGAAAGTCTTGAATGATCAGATTTTGAATTGCAGAATTAAAAGAGCACACAAAAGTGAAGTTTATATTATAATAGATGGGATATGCTTTCTTCACCTCATAGAATATGATGTATGGCCCAACTGAATATTTATTTTTATGTTATAAATTGTTTTTTCATTCGTATAATACAAATTTCCGTACTTTTTTCACTTATAATGGAAAGTACACACGGAGAGTGCACAGAAATATATTTATTGCCGGCCGCAATCGTCATAAAGGCCAATTTGAGCATTTGCTAAAAATACTATTTTGATATTTTTCCAATCTACTATAAGAGAATGGATAGAAGAGATAACACATCAGCCATCAATCCGACAATTCGGATAACATTTTTTACGTACAACGTATGTAAATAAGTACATATATATTCAAAAGTAAAGCACCATTTCCCATATTGAATGTATTTATTTGTTTATTTATTGTGTATTTCAATGTCTTTCAACGAAAAGAAAACAGCACCCCACCTCTCTTTATGAAAACTGAAGAGATCTCTTAGAGCGGTCCGTGAATAGAGAGAGAGAGAGCGAGTGACAGAGGCAGAGTGAGGCGCATGCGTTGTCGTCGTAGCTGGAGAATGAACAATATTTGTGTTTTAGTTGTGGAAAAGTGTTAAAAACATTACATGAAGAGGTCTCTCGGAAGACCCTTTCATGTCCCCTAAAATATTTCTTCCCTTCCATTTCCAACAAAAAAGAAAAGATTATCAGGACTAGGTGTAAAACAGGTGGACATTAGCCACAAATCGATAGTCGCGACATTTTCTAGTCCCATTTTAATTGCATCGATTTTTCCATCATTCCTACCGGCGGATCTTGCCGTATCCGCCCCCACCTCCCGTTGGGTCATGCAGTCAACCAGCAAATGTGTGCCAGCCACAGCAACATAGAGCTCTCGTCTCGGCAATTTCTACGGCTTCATCAAACAAAACAAAAAAGGTTCACCATTCGCGTATTTCCACAGGCAAAGTGGGGAGAGTGGGACCAGCCCGCATTTCATTTAAATTGAATTAAAATAATTGATTTTTATTGCAACTTTGTTTGGGTTTTCAGTAAACTTTCGGGCACACAAGCAACCCATACGTACCCATACGCCTATACGGGGTATACGCGCTCCTAACTAGGCTATAGAATACGCCCGAGATCAGTCCATAGACAGAAAGACTTTTGTGTTCCACTTCGGTTGATTCAATCCGCGTGCGCCTCAGGATAGGGTGAGTGTTAAAAGATACGAGTATTATGGTTGCCATAACGAAAACTGTTGCTAATTTATTGTTGCGTTCCCTTGCAGATCCCCCTGCAGTATTATCTCAATATCAACTGTGTAAACTCTCCAGCCTCACTCCACTTCTGTCTCTTGATCAAGTTTTACCGAAAAGAGAAATCAGTAAAGTTCATAATACGATAAAATGCATAATTGATGAAATTTGTTTGCTAATTGGGAATCGTTCTTTCAGCAGCAGCAGCCACATTATGGTCGAGGGTCAGACAGCCGTGCAACAGCAGCCCCAACAGCAGCCACCAACTGGGGGAGCTGCCAACACTGCCAGCAGCAGCAGCAGCACCACCACCGCCACCACAGGAGCAGGCGGTGGCGCAGGCGGCGGATCTACAGGATCTACGGGAAATGTGACGACCAATAGCCAGGCACAGACAAACGGTGGAACTGCCTCAACGTCGCCAGCAGCTGCCGGTTCTGGTTCGGGTTCAGGATCGGCGACAACTGGATCGAATGCCACTGGCCAGGCATCCAATGCCAACAATTCAACAGCGAATAATAATAAAAACAACAACAACACCACTGCAAACAACAACAACAACAACAATAATAATAACAACAACAACGAACCAGATCCAAAAACTAATCTGATTGTTAATTACTTGCCACAGACAATGTCGCAGGATGAGATACGTTCGCTGTTCGTTAGCTTCGGCGAGGTGGAGAGCTGCAAATTGATACGCGACAAGGTGACAGGTGAGATCGATAGACACAATCAAAGTTTATTCATCGACTAATCCCTTTTTGTTCTTTTCCCGTTTTAGGCCAAAGCCTGGGCTATGGCTTTGTGAACTACGTCAAGCAGGAGGATGCCGAAAAGGCAATCAACGCACTGAACGGTCTGCGGCTGCAGAACAAAACCATCAAGGTATCCATTGCACGGCCCAGCTCGGAGAGCATCAAGGGCGCGAATCTCTATGTATCGGGTCTTCCAAAGAATATGACACAGTCGGACCTCGAATCATTGTTCAGTCCATACGGCAAGATCATCACTTCGCGCATACTTTGTGATAACATCACCGGTGAGTCCTGGAGGAGGCCTAAATATCCAGAGAAAGAGTGAGAGTGAGAGGAGAAGTTAAATATTTAATTCGAAAGGAATATCAGACGAAGAACCCACAACTCAGATCTTAGATCTTAGAGGAATATTCTCCTTGATCACTTAAAGCATGTCCCAGTATCCAGTATATTTAAATATTTCTATATACAACATATCTACATATATATACTCGTTCTTTATACTATTCTTCGATTCATTTGTAGCCTTCTAGCCCATAGCGCGCACACAATTTGATTTCGAATCTGGCTGGCGCTCTCTCCACAAAAATCGAATTATAAACCCCTGCCTTGTGTTTTCTTTATTATTGATATATTGATACTTATTAATTAATGCAAATTTTTGTGTACAATTATATTTTTTTACATGTAATAATCGAACCAAATAAGATGAACATGCGCCGGGTATGTTTTTTCTTTTAATCATTTTGATTTCATCATTTTCCCTTTTATTTCCATGCTGTTCATCCAATCGCATATTAAGAATACAAAAATCCAATAATATTTATAATCATTTATGCATTTTACGCAACATGTTACAATAGATTCATCTATCAGTTGCATTGTTTTCAACTCTCTCAGTTCATCCTTCGTTAAATGCATGACAAATCCATCGCCGCTTGCTTTTGCTTGTAAAACTGTAACTTTGCCTCTGCCTTTACTGTATCTCTACTGACTACTAACCATTCTGGATCATTTTGCAGGTCTCTCCAAGGGCGTTGGCTTTATTCGCTTCGATCAGCGCTTTGAGGCTGATCGAGCCATCAAGGAGCTGAACGGCACCACACCCAAGAACTCCACCGAACCGATAACCGTCAAGTTTGCCAACAATCCCAGCAGTAACAAGAACAGCATGCAGCCACTGGCCGCGTACATAGCGCCACAGAACACAAGAGGCGGTCGGGCATTCCCGGCGAATGCCGCTGCGGGAGCTGCAGCGGCAGCAGCAGCCGCTGCTATACATCCCAACGCGGGCCGTTACAGGTCAGGATTGAGAGAGATAGCGAGGGGGAGCAGCTGTGGTTGTTAGAAAATAAGAATTATTTGCATGCCTTTACCTAGATATACTAGATAATAAGACGAACTATGTGCAGCATCTAGAATGTCTCCCATTTGTTTGCAACTCTTCTGCAGCTCGGTTATCTCTCGATACTCGCCGCTGACCAGCGATCTGATCACCAATGGAATGATTCAGGGCAACACCATTGCCAGCTCTGGGTGGTGCATTTTCGTCTACAATCTGGCACCAGAGACCGAGGAGAATGTGCTGTGGCAGCTGTTTGGACCCTTCGGTGCTGTGCAGTCGGTCAAGGTGAGGCGCGGGACAAACCAATTTTGTGGTTTTGCATCAACTGATTGTTATACCCCCCAGGTGATTCGCGATCTGCAGAGCAACAAGTGCAAGGGCTTTGGGTTTGTGACGATGACCAACTACGAGGAGGCGGTGCTGGCCATACAGTCGCTCAATGGCTACACGCTGGGCAACCGGGTGCTCCAGGTCAGCTTCAAGACCAACAAGAACAAGCAAACGTAATTACTATCCAAGTTGGCTGCTGTTGTCAATGCCAATGCGGCGGCGGCGGCCTTGGCGGCCAATGGTCTGGTGCTCCACAACCATCGTCAGAACAATCAGAACAACATCAGTAGTGGCATCAGCAATTCGAACCATCCACATGGCAAATATGCTAATCACAACAACGTTACTAGCGTTACTAGCAGCAACAGACAGCACAACACACACAACAGTAGCAGCAGCAACACGAGCAAGCAGCTGCAGCAGCCACAGCAGCAGAGGCTCCAATCAACGACTCAAAGCAACAAGCAACAATCAATGCCGCCACCTAAGAGATCATCAGGAAACAACACTGCAGCAGTCGCAGCAGCAACAGCAGCTGCAGCCACAGCAACAAACAATAGTACCAGCAACAGCAGCAGCAGCAACAGCAGCCACAGTCACGCAGTGTCCTCCAATGGCGATGCTGGAGCCAGTGCAAACAATGGCGCTGCCGCCTCTTCCTCATCGGCTTCGTCGTCGAGCAACATATTGAAAACATCCACGAAATTCATTTACAACAAGCCACAAAATCAATTTGAGTTGCTGCAGCAACAGCTGCAGCTGCAGCAGGAGTTCGCTCAGTTTCTGACCAACGTGGCCAGCAGTGCAGTAGGATCCGGATCCAGCAGTGGAGCCAGCACATCAGCAGGAGCTGCCGGCTCCCTGGGTGAAAGCCGGAGGAACGGAGGAGGCGGAGGAGGAGGAGCACTGGGCCTGGGCATGGGCATGGGCATGGGCATGGGACTGGGAATGGCAGCCAATGGATCGTCATCGGGTGCTGGTTCTGGCAACAAGAATATGCCCTCCTGGTCGAATTGGTTCTTTTAAAGAAACTTTGTTATATTATGTTATCCTTTAGTTACTCAAGTCACACCTCATTAATTGATTACCTTCGATTTACTTCAAATTAATTTGTAAGCTGGCTAAGAGCTGGCAAACACATGGGCCAACTCCTTCGCTCAAGCCAAAGCGATTATTTTTTACCCATTTGATAGCTTGAACCAAAGCATTACCTAAAACAAATCCTAGTTTAAGTTGATTACTTCTTTTCGATGAATTATGAATTCGCCTTTCGTTTTGTATCTTATTCTTCACACATTAATTGTTTGACTCTAATCGGGGGGCAGCAGATCAATCGGGCCCGTGCTTAAATAGTACTAGCAAAATAAGTACAACTTTACCATTATATTTGATTTGTTAATGCACTTTTAAAGAAAAACATCTTACAGAATGGCTTCCAGAACTGGGTATAAACTGAGAGAAACGGAGAGAAGTAAAGCTCTAGTTAAGTTTTTGTTTGGGATGTGTACTCCACTCTACTCTACTCTACTCTAGACATATTTTTAAACGAGAGCAGAGTATAATAAGAGGAGGAACATTTTCGATGGCAATGAGGCCCACAATCCACCAAAGAATGAGAAACAAACATGACAAATATTTAAGCTATAAATAAATGTATAAACGAGATACGAAAAAACAGAACTGAATGCGTAAACAGATACACGTAGAGGCGGGCGTTTGGTTTGGCATATAGTCAGACCAGACCAGACCAGACCGTTTTTGCTAATAGACAATGCAGAGAAATGCGAAGGGAAAGCTAGATAAAAGATGCAAGATGAAGCAACCAAACAAGACATGCATATGTTTATGTTTTATATTAAATGTATAACTTTTTCTAAAATAAACGATGTATGCATAATATACGTATATATAGATCAGCCCTTTATTCTATACCCCCAACCCATAACAACACATAATGTTCAATTTGTTCGAGCCTACCAAACTAATCTCCTACTCGTCATAAAGTCATACTGCCCCATCCCTGCCCCTGAATCTCTGGTGTCAGTCAGCACAGAAACACATCTGAACACACATAAAATGGCAGCAAGTGCTAATTGAGAATTTTTCGAATACAACGAATAAATGTTTAAGAAAAATCGAAAACAGCAAACTGGCAAACGGATAAAGGATAAAAATCATAAATAAATAATACAAGCAAAGTGAGACCATAATAGTTATAAACTAATCAACGATTGTGAAGCTACAACAAATCCAGCTACAAAATCTAAGCACGCCATTCCAAAAAACTAAAAGCTAAAAATGTAACTTTAGAAAAAAGATCAGAACAGTCCCTCCCTAGACAAAACAAGCATAGAAGAAAATAAAATGGAAATGGAAAGCCAGAGCGAGAGCAACGTAACTTATGTAGATTGACAAAAAACGCGTTTCAGCATAACGAATTTGTTTTTACCCAACTCAACAGCAATATCGAAGCAAGCGAATACAAAACAGACAATGAAAAAAGAAAGTAAACATGAAAGAAATTAATTGAACAAGTTGAACAAATTGCCAAACTAAGTATAATACATTTTTAAATACGAGACTGGGGAAAACTGGCATTAACAGAGAGATGGGAAAGGATAGCTGGGATGCTTCCGAGAGTCGAGGAGATAGAGATATGGGAAAGTGTATCGATGAAATGAAATCATGGTGCTTGACAGATTTCCTTGCAAACTGCAAATGCAAATACAAATTGTGTCCCTAAAGAATTAGAATACCGAAAACCGATAAACAAAATTTGAATTTAGTTGTAGAAAATAACTAAATGGCTTGGGAAAGGTAGGAGATCATTTACTATTTATTGGTATTTATATTTTCCATTGAATATAATTTATATCCCTCGAATCCCTTGCCTGTAAAACGTAAAATTTGCAATGTTAAGAGACATAAAAACTATGCTATGGCACTACATGAACAAAAATCTATAACTATTTATGAAACAATTATTATATATGTATGATTAACAATATATTGATGTTGTGTATTGCAAATTTTAAATGTTTATACATCTACATACATACCAAGGAAATTATTACGAATTACTAAGTCATGGCATGCATAGAGGCAAAAGCAAAGCAAGGCAAAGAGGAGAGAAGCGATTTTCATGTATACGTCAGTAAATTAATTGCGTACTATTTAAACTTATTACCAGAAATTATATATATAGAATATATATATATGCATACATACATAGTTACGATTACGGTTATGAATATATTATGTAGGTATGTGCGTGTGTAGTGCGTAGCAGCAAAGCAAAGCAGCAAAATGCCAAGCCTCCAGATTTGTAGAGCTCTCAACGGCTATAGTATCCACTACTCCTTCACTTTACTCTCCTCTTCCCACATCGACAAAACCAATTAACAACTAAACTATAAGAATATTCTCCTAGACACACACAGATACACACCCATATACACACACGCAAACAAACAGACACTCATACTCATGCGCAAAATGCTTGACTGACAAAAGTAAAAAAATAAAATAGAATTCTTGCTTTTAAGCGGTAATAAGAAAGAAAGAATGAATACCTTCCAGCAAACAATTTCTAGGCGAGCCCAAGAAATGAAAACACTACAAGAGAAAAACACCAAATGAAAAGTTTTTATACAAAATGTAGAAATCGAGGCACCGTTTTTTGTGCATTTTGTATGGGATTCCATGCGCCGCACGCCGGATCTGTGTAACAGGAGATCTCTGTGTGCGTAATGCAATTAAGATATAAAAGTATTGTAAAAGAAAAAACCCCGAACAACAACAAAAGCAATCGATTATATACATTTTTTAAGAGGAAATGTTTTATAGTAAGCCGAAGATGGAGGACGGACGTAAGAAGTAGAGCAGGTGGAAGCCCGAAACAAAACCAAGAAAGTATTTTAAAAATTTAAATATATACATGAGTACTATATATACAATATATTATATTATATATACATATTATATACTTAATGGGTATGGTAACGAACAAAAACACCGCACAATAATATACAAAACAAAGCAAATCGGAGGATAAATGGATATGGAGCAACGTCATGAGGAAACATACGTAAAGAACAAAGTCCGTTGAGGATCACTGATAACAGAACGTTTAACTAAATGCAGAAAAAGACTAAGGAATCGAGAAAATACTAAAAAAAAAAAAACAACAAAAAAACCAAACCCAAATACAAAAACCACAAATGGAACGAGCAAATTTATAATTTTTACATGAAAACGCAATAATGTTAACATTTAAAGAAGAATAAATAGAAAACAAAGCGCATATCTTGAGAAACGAAGAACGAGAAGAGCAGAGAAGAGTCTCACCAAAGAGAACGAAATCGAAAACCAAAAAAGCAAAAAACAAACGAAAAGTTACCACAAATTTTAACTAACAAACAAAGTGAGAAAGGCTTATAAATGGTACACTTTTATACTTTTACACCAAAACCAAACCAAACGAAAACAAAAGCAAAAACAAAAACCAAAGATGTACGAGTATGTAAAGATAATGCATGATTGATTGATTGATTGATCTGTTTTGTCGTTTCTAGAGGCACATTCGCGTTTTGGAGCCAATAAGGTTGTGCAAATGCCTGCAGGCTTCGGGCTGCCGCTAGTTGGAGCGGTAACGGAATGCCTGCAGCGCTCTCTCTATCTCTCTTTAAATGTCTGTTCCTCTCACATACTTACACACACACACATACTCTTTTCTCTACTGTTGTAATCTCACTTAAATAAATGTTGAATAGCAAAAAGCCACACCCAAATATTACAGATCTATTCGAGAAATGTGCTAAATATCGATAGCAATTAGCTACAATAATTCGCCCCTCTCTAATCCTTTCCAGGATCGATCCCTACACGAACTGTTGCATGGAAAGGAAGGTTGCTAGATAAATTTATAAGACTGTGGTTAGAATTCGATTGGAAAAGCAACATAACTTGTAGTGGAAGCATCCTGCTGAAATATTATTCAATTAATTTTTTTTTGGTTTTTCGTTTTTGTGTAATTTCTTCTGTTGCTTCAGGATTCACTCATAAGTCCAGATCAAATCTTGGTTTCTGCTCCCTCAAGATCCAACTATCAAACAGATTAGATAAAAAACAAACACACACACACACACACACACACATGAAGCAAACCAAACCATTTTATGGATGCGATTGGTAAAGGTAAAGGTGGGAAAAAGCTCTCTCTATATGTTTAAATGTTAAAGAAATACAAAAAATAAATCTAAAGGTATATTATAAATTAATTAAAAACCAAATCTTAGTCGAAAAGAACTTAGTCAAAGGTACTAATTTTAAGCACTATTGTTAAACGCAAGTTGAAGGCAAGGCAAAGGGCAAAGCATTAAGCGGCACTAAGCTGCAGGAAGACGATGACGAAGACGAAGACGAAGAGAAATCACATTAGCCAAAAAAACGGAAAACGCAAGAGAAAGATGTTGTATGGAATATATGGAAAAATCTAAACTCAACTCAGAACCTTAGTGGCATTCGCTCTTTCAAGCTCAAAACATAAGTTTAAATAACATATTGAATTTCACATAAGAGATTATAATAATTCCATCTAATTTATATTTGTCTATGGGTTAGCTTATACAATATATATTATGTGTATATGTATATGTATTATGCCACATATGTATTACCATATATGTATTTATGAAAAACTATGCAAGTTTCTTTCTCGTCGTTATAAATATAGTCAAAATATTGGTGGACCGTATCGTATTGTAGTAGCAAATATGTATTTATCTTTAATCATCACAGACAAAAACCGAAAACGAAACGAAAACGAAAGCAAAACGAATTATTCCAATTTAATTAACGTGCATAAATTATATATTGAATTATTGTCAAGTCGAGTCGAGTTCTCTCATATGGACACAAGACCTTAAGCGATTTTCTTCGAATTTTCATTATTAATTAAACTTAAAGACGAAACCAAGAAACCAAAACCAAGAAACCAAAAAAAAACAATCACAATATTGTGTGCGATAAAGTCAAGCAAAAATTTATATAGCATATTTATGGTATACTCTGTGCAAGATTTATTAAGAATCAATTAACTTCATTATGGATTACTCTGAGAATTTACAAACACACAAACCAAACACACACGCGACACACACACGATGAATGAAAACCAACAATTTATTCCAATAAAGCTATGAAAGATGTGTTTAAAGACTATGTATGTATGGTATGCGAATGCCCTATGCCCAATTATTTCCAGCACTTCTCACTTACTTTATAGTCCGCACGTCAATCCAGAATGCAACGCACAGATGTGGACTAAAAAATCAATGTTGCAGGCAATACCAATTCACTGATACTGAAGTTTATTTCGTAATTTATTTATTGATTAAACTGAGATTAAAAGATTTAAGGAAATAGGTTCATATTTCAGGTAATAATACAGTAAGGAGCACTTTTAGACTGCCATGTCCATTTTTATCTTAGGGTATGGATCGTAGCCAATGACCTCAAAGTCTTCGTAGCGAAAATCTTCAATGTTGCCCACCTTTCGCTTGATGTGCAGCTTTGGAAATGGTCGCGGCTTGCGTTCCAGCTGCTCCTTTAGTGGCTCAACATGGTTAAGGTAGACATGAGCGTCGCCCATGGTGTGGACAAAATCGCCCGTCTTTAAGCCCGTTACATGGGCTATCATGTAGGTAAGCAGGGCATAGGAGGCGATGTTGAAGGGCACGCCTAGGCCCATGTCGGCGCTGCGCTGATACAGCTGACAGGAGAGTTCGCCGCGAGTTTGCGAGACGTAGAACTGTGCCAGGCAGTGGCAGGGCGGCAGTGCCATTTTGGGTATGTCCAGGGGATTCCAGGCGGACATGATGATGCGACGATCGGATGGATTGTCCCTGATGGTGTTAATTACTTGTTGCAATTGATCGATGCCCTTGCCACTGTAATCATCGTCGCAGGTGCCATACTCGGCACCAAAGTGACGCCACTGAAAGCCATAGACAGGACCCAGATCTCCCACGGCGCGGTCCGTGTGGCCGAGTTTGTCTAGGAACTCTCTGGTGCTGTTGCCATCCCAAATGTGCACATTCTTCGACTGCAAGAGCTTCGCATCTGTCTTTCCGGCAACAAACCAAAGCAGCTCCTCCACGACCGCCCGAAAGAACACCCGCTTGGTGGTCAGCAGGGGAAACGACTTCCGCATGTCAAACCGCAACTGACTGCCGAATACTGACAGTGTGCCTACCTGGGTGCGATCCATACGGCGCTCACCAACCTTTATGATATGCCAAATCAATTCCAAATAATTCTGCTCATCTTGATTGGTGTCCGCTCGATCGTTGCTCTTCTCTAATTCCGCCAGCTGCCCATTGACATGCAAGTTCTCCTTTTCCACTCCAATATTGCCATTGACTGGACCGGCATTGTCCGAGGACAAGTTGGGTTTTACAGCTGTATCCATCATTACATTAACTTCAAATATTTAACAAATATCTTGTGCAATTTTTATTTTAGGCGGGAAAAACGTCAAGGGATGCACTCTACAGATGACTTCAGCGCTTCTTTCCCGCCAAAGAAAATTACATTTCTTGGTTTTGATATTCGGTTTAAAGTTTCTAGCTAGATAGCACCTTTATCACTTAATATATAATTTTATCCGATAAATTAACCAATTTTCCACAAGATTGACTAACATTAGGCTCTCCCTTCTATAGGATTGTTTATGAAAAAGTGTTTAAACATGAAATGGGTAAACCAAAATGTACGCTATATGTCATTTCTACATGGTGTATTAGCACAACAAGGTGCGTCCATACACTGCAAATATATCTGAACGTCATCAATACCGATACAAAATACGCTCATGACCAAGATGAAATGTGTGTGACATAGAGAGGGAAAGTTAGGCATATGCAACATTCAGTTCAATTATTAACTTTGGCAAGACTAACATTTATTTAAGTTAATACAAAATTAAAAAGGTCATAACAGCATACTTTTTTTAAACAGAATCACCGGCTACAAATAAAACGCCCATTCATCGATTGTTGCTGCCTATCGATACGATATGTTCGCTATTTTCAAATCTTCTTTCGAATAAATACACTTTCACTTTGTACGAGGAATTTATTAAGTTTAATTATATTTAAATACCGAGCTTGGTCGATCTACAACAAAATGTATTCGTAGGTGTATGCCGCATGTTACAAAATGCAACAGGCGGTACAATTATATGAAGGAAAAATAGACGTAAACATACAAATTAAAAAACATAAAACAAAAGAAGATGGAATGAACTTTAAATATTAAAGAATACAGTAATTGGGCAATGATCGCTGCCAAGGAGTTGCTTTCGCATCACATGGTCCACTACACGCGAAACAAATCGCTCCGAGACAATGCAATAGTCGAGACGCCAGCCTACATTGCGAGCCCGTGCGTTGGCCATGTAGGTCCAGAATGTGTAGGCGCCTTTCTTGTCGGGATACAAATGCCTGAAGGTATCCACGAATCCTAGGCCAAGCAGCTCCGTCATCTTATCCCGCTCCTCTTTGGTGAAGCCTGCATTTTTGGTGTTTGTCTTCGGGTTTTCCAAATCGATTTCGCTATGGGACACATTCATATCGCCACAGATAACGACCGCCTTCAAAGCGTCAAGCTTCTGCACATAGGACTGGAACAGCTTCTCCCATCGCATGCGGGCCTCCAAGTTAACCAGCTTGCGACCCGAATTCGGAACATAAACATTTATCAAATAGAACTTCTCATACTCTGCGGTTATCATGCGTCCCACATCATCAAACTCCTCGTTTCCAATGCCGTACTCGACATTAATGGGCATAATCTTGCTGTATATGGCCACCCCAGCATAGCCGCCTGGCATGCACAACCAATACGGGTGATAGCCCGGCACATTGGTCATTTCGTCGGGCAGTTGCTCGTTTGAGCATTTTGTTTCCTTAAACGACAAAAAAAAAGTGGTTACTAATGTTCTGTGTTGTGTTGTGACGTTCGAAGCGGACTTACTTGCAGACAAAATATATCTGGCTCCTCAAGAGTCAAAACCTGCAGACCGTCCTTCTTCAGCCATGCTCTAAGGCCAGCCACGTTCCAGCTGCAGATTTTTAAATTGAATGCCTTTTCAGCTGGCAGTGCGAAGTCAGCTTTATCCAAATTTACTTTTGCTTCTACAGCCTTCTCCGCCTTCTTGGCCTTCTCCTTGGATGCTGGAAAACAAAAGTTAAGCATGTTGTGCAAGCTTTTCAATACTGCACCGCCACCGCAACCGGACGACTCAACCAACATACTTTTCGACCCATCAATCGCATCATCTTCAATAGCTTCTTCCGTTTTTGTGGCGGCTTTTTTCCGACCGCGAACTGAAATTAAGTTAAATCTGTTTAGCAATTTGTGCAAAATTGCATATTTTTGGTTCACGCTTACCCGGCTTGCTTTCAGCCGGCTCTGGCAGCTCCACCTCGCTCTCCTTTTTGGCGGAGGCCTTCTGCTCCCGTTTTTTTCTGGCAGCTGGTTCGGGTTCCTCCTTGGCTTCCTTTTTGGCTCGCTGCTTAGTGGGCTTTGCTGCCACTGTGGGCACAGCTTCGGGTTCTGTTACTTTTTTAGTTCGCTTGTTGGTGGCCTTTGTGGGCACTGAATCGGCTTTAGCTTCCTCCGTGGAATCCCCTAGAGTCACAGGCTCAGCTTGTACACCGTTTTCCCCAGCTTTCGCCGCTTTCTTTGTACGCTTATTGGTAGCCTTTGGTGGCTCTGGAGGCACATCATCTTCCTCAAGAACCTCAGCAATTTCCGAATCTGCCAGACGCTTGTTAACTCGCGCCCGCTTGGTTGTTGTCTCGGTTGTATCCTCCTTTGCCTTCTGCGCTGGCTCTGGCGCGATCAAGGGTGGGTGATCTTTTTTCGCTCTTTGTTTTGTCGGTTCTGCTTCTTCCACCACTGCATCAGCGTCTTCTGAGGGGTCTTTCCTCTTGCGTCCCCGCGCGTTTGTTTCCTTTGGAGCCGATTCCACGACAGCTGTCGCTTTTCCTCTCTTGGCGCGTCCCTGGGGTGGTGCTGGTGCTGCAGCTGGTTCTTCCTCTACTTCCTCTTCAGGCTGTTTTTCTTTTTTGGCCCGAGACTTGACTGCTTTGCTAGCTTTTGGAGCAGCTTCCTCAATTACATCCGGCTCGGTACTTGCCATCTGCTTACGTCCTTTTGGAGCCTTCGGAACTTTTTCGACATTCTCCTCTTCCTCCTTGTACTGCTTCTTCCTGCCGCCACGTGCAGCGGGGGGCTGTGAGTTTTCCACTTGGTCTGGCTCCGGGTTTGCTGCTGCGGTTGTCTTTTTGGTTGTTTTTTTAGCGCGTGGCTTCCCCTTCGTCAGCACCTTGGCATCATCAGCATCTTTACTACCGGCGTTTTCATTCTCGGCACTTCCATTTGTCGTAGCGGCAGCTACAGCTAGAGGCTCCTCTACTTGTTTTTTTGTGGCCTTGGCGCGGGGCATTGTATTTTATTTTATAGGTAATATTTTGGCACGCTTTAAAATGAAAAATTTATATCTTGATTGTGTGCGGACACACAAAACACAAAACAACTCTGCGCGGGCAACGACGCTACAATTTCTTCAAGAAGCCGGCAATAGTGTTGAAAGATACTTCAAAGACTCAAGTCGCGAAGGTGAGGTAAAACAGGGTGGTGCGATTTTTGATGAGCAGTGCTGTGTGTGACGTCACAAGGGGTGAAACAGTTGTGAACAGGGTGAACAGTTAATTAAACTTATTAACAGACCAAGCTTAGTTCAATTCGACTGAGTAATTGCGGCCTAGTTTTCATAAAAGGCAATATTTCATATCTTTTCATATTAACCAACCTGCGCAATTTCGTCACCTTACCTTGTTTAGGTTTTCTAAAGATGCTTAGTTTCAGCGATGCCCAACACTAATTAATAAAAAATATTTGCTTTAGCCCGGCTGTGCGAATTTGTTTAAATAATTGTCTTTATGTCCTTACTTGTGTGTTTCTTTATGTTGTAGTTTAAAAGAGCAACAAATTCGCAATACGTGCATAGAACTGGGGCGAGACGTGGATACAGTAGGGACATTTTATAAAGGGAAGAATTAACTGCGATTGCGACTTGTACGATTTGCATTTAAAAATGCCAAGCGAAATAATTACTCTGCAGCTGGGCCAATGCGGCAATCAAAGTGAGTAACAATTAAATATGTAAAATAATTGCTAAATAAACTCGCTGCACAGTTGGGTTCGAGTTTTGGAAACGTTTATGCCTGGAACATGGCATTTCCCCAAGCGGCGTTCTAGAGGACTTCGCCACCGATGGGATGGACCGCAAAGATGTTTTCTTCTACCAGGCTGATGATGATCACTACATACCGCGTGCGGTGCTGCTTGACTTGGAGCCCAGGGTGATAAATACAATAATGGGCTCGCCATATGCAAAGGTAAAATGAGCCAAAAAGGAAATTAAAAGTCGGAAGCTGAATAAGTTTATTTTTATCCCGCAGCTGTACAATCCAGAGAACGTTTACTTATCAAAGCATGGTGGTGGCGCTGGCAATAATTGGGCATCTGGCTATAGTCAGGGCGATAAGCTACAGGAGGAAATATTTGATATAATCGACAGAGAAGCGGATGGAAGTGATTCCCTTGAGGGATTCATACTCTGTCATTCCATTGCCGGTGGTACGGGCTCTGGCATGGGTTCCTTTATCATGGAACGCCTGGCCGATCGCTATCCCAAGAAACTTATACAGACCTTCAGTGTGTTTCCCAATCAGGATGAGATCAGCGACGTTGTCGTTCAGCCATACAACTCATTGCTGACACTGAGGCGTCTAACCAGTGCTGCGGATAGTGTCGTAGTCCTAGACAACACGGCCCTCAATCGCATAGCTTGCGATCGTTTGCACATCCAGAATCCCAGCTTCTCGCAAATCAACAATCTCGTGTCCACCATTATGAGCGTGAGCACAACCACTCTGCGTTACCCTTCGTATATGAACAACAATCTCATTGGGCTGATGGCCCCACTGATACCCACACCCCAGCTGCACTTCCTTATGACGGGCTACACGCCACTGACCTCTGACTCGGATGTGAACAATCAGCAAGCGGTGAACATTCGCAAAACGACAGTATTGGATGTAATGCGTCGCCTACTGCAGCCCAAGAACATGATGGTCTCCACTGGCCCAGACAAGACAAATCATCATTGCTACATTTCCATACTGAACATTATACAGGGCGAGGTGGATCCAAGCCAGGTGCACAAGTCGCTGCAGCGCATTCGTGATCGGAAGATGGCACAGTTTATACCCTGGGGACCCACCTCCATCCAGGTGGCCCTGTCCCGCTCTTCGCCCTACGTGCAAAGCAACCATCGAGTCTCTGGCCTGATGTTGGCCAACCACACCAGCATCTGTTCTCTTTTCGAGCGTGCTCTCAATCAATACGACAAGCTACGCAAACGTGGCGCTTTTCTCGATCAATTTCGACGCGAAGATATCTTCAAGGATGATCTCAACGAGCTGGATGAGTCCCGTGAGACAGTCGACAACCTCGTGCAGGAGTACGAGGCAGCCACGCGCAGTGACTACATGCAATTCTCATTCAAACGTGCCCCAGGCGAGGCCAAGTCAGAGGAAGCAAAGGCTGCGGGCGATCATTAAAATTAGCACCCTCGTGACATACGCGTGCCATGAAACCCACAAAGAAATATTGCTTGACAAGAAGGCATTTCAAATCCTTCAAGTATTAACCAGCTACAGAATTCTTTGTTTTGTACAGCTGAGTCTGTACTTCATTAACAATTGTTCTTGTGACAAATAAAACGACAAAAACCACAATTGGATGATTACATTTTTGAGATAAATTCAACGCACTTCAGGGAAAACATTTGGCACAAAGCCTTCGAACTACTTCTCGCAAATGTACATGTGTTTTTCGGAGCAATGTACATCGTTCATTCCCATTGCATTTGCTTTACTCTCGTAGGCCAGCTCAACGCAATCTTCATTGCCCTTCCAGTCGTCTGGGATTTGTCTCCATTTCAAGAAATTTGCCTGCTTTCCAGTGGTGCTGGACATGTAAACGCCTTCTGTTTCAATATCATTAACATCAATCCAGTAGTAGTAGACGTCGTATAGATCTTTTGTCACTAAATCAAACTCCTGCTGGTCCTGCAGGCTGGCCAGGTGGCTGCCCAGCTCTTGGCATCTATCCCGCGCATCTGTCCAGTTTAGTTTCTCGTTTCTCTCAAAGTAATAAAACTTTGAGCCCAGCTTTTGAAATGTTACGAGACGTTTCTGCCACAGTGTTCTTAACCTGGATTCTGACTCCTTAATGGCTGCCTCATGGGTGGACATCTTATTCTGTTGGCTCGTTAATTGCTCCTGTAGCTCGATCAGTCTTCTGTCATCATTTTCGAGCTTCGTTTGTTGCCCTGACAACTGATTTTTAAGTGCATTCACCACCTCTGTCAGTTTATTTCCCTCAGAGCCATGTTTCTGTACCGTGGCGAATATTCTCTTTACTTTGGACTCTGATTCCTTCATGGCTGCCTCGTGGTTAGTGACCTTTTTCTGTTGATTCGTCAATTGATCCTGCAGCTTGGCCAGCCTATTCTGTGAGTCCAACAATCTCTTTTCATCATTTTCTAGCTTCGTTTGATGGTCTGCTAATTGATTTTTTACCTTGCTCACCTCCGACTCTATCTTTTGCCGTTTGTCGGCTAATTGTTGGCCAGACAATTGTGCCTTTATGCCACTAAGACTCTCAGCGAATAGAGTAATATTTGTAGTGATATTGCCTTGCATTTTCTCCAAGCTGTCGAGTCTCTTCGTGACAAGCGTTTCATTCTCTTTACCCGAGAACTGTTGCTCTATCAGGGAGAGTCTCTCCCGATACTTGTCTAGATGGGAGCCACTCTTCCCTTGATGTGCCAACACTCGCTGCACTCTTTCGAGCTGTCCCTTTGCATGTTCGACTGCGATTTGCTTTTCTATTTGTGCCAGTCTCTCGAGCACCTGCTGTGCACCCAAAACTAGCTGTCGCTGTTTGTCCTCTAATCTTCCAATTCTCTCCGTGGCTAAGCTTTCCCTCTCCTGATGCCCAGTAATCTGTTTCTCTAGTCCGCGCAGTCCTTCGCTTAGCCTGCCCATGTCAGAATCGTTTTTTTCCTGCTGATCAGACAAGTTTTGCTTCACTCTTTCGATCATTTCCAACAGACCATTTTCTCCAGAATTATCCGCCTTTTGGTGTTCAATTAACTTATGCTCTACACTGTCCAGTCTTCTCAATTGCATCGATGAGGAATCTTCCGCTGTTTTTAGTCTCGATTCGACTGCCTCTAGTTTTTGTTTGGTCTCCAGTTTATCTTGATGATTCATTTGAGTCTCAGCCCATTCCTGTTGGGTTTTCAACTTGTTTTCAATGTTTTTCATCTGCAGTTGTATCATGAGCTGCTGATCCAACACTGATTTTATGGTTTTGATGCAGAAGTCCGTGCAGCCACTATTTGGTTCCATCTGTGATTAGGATTATTGGCCATTTTCGCATGTCTTATATTGCTTTTACACAGTAATACTCACCAAACTTTTCGACAGAGCTATCTGCGCAAATAGCCCCAACAGAATTAATAGAGCAATGCAACACATTTCCACAGAACACACAACAGTTGCGTTTGCCGCCCAAGAAGTTCTGGGATCTGACGAAGTTCGTTGAAATGTTTGTCGAGCAAACTGCAAGCTGCAGAGTGTGACCAGGCAAAGTGGAGATTTTGTCCGATTTTGCAGCACCGTCAGCAGAGTTGCGATTTTATTTAAGAATTAAATTTGTTGTATCTTTGAAAAACTCTCAAATAATCACGTTCGAGAAAGATAACTAAGCGTTCAGCTTTGATAACTTCTCCTGGCACGGTTTGATGTTGTTCGAGTCGGCCTCAAGGATGGGGGGTAATAATACCTATTATTATTTTTAATGAAATCAGAAAACAAACATTTGGAACATTTTCAAAAAATTGTTGCAACTGAAAATGTTTCGCTACAACATATAATTAATGAATGTTGTTCAATCCTAGACTGCTCAAATGGCCACACTATATCTGATAAATGTTCAGTGTTTGTAAACGTCGCACACATAAAATGTTTTGAAATAGAAAAAAAATGAAAATGTTTTAAATTGTACAATGCCGCAAAACGATGGCCAGGAAGATCAGCCGAAAATTTCGACATTCGCAGTATTGGATTTGGAGACAACCAATTTGCCTGCGCATAACCACAACAAGGTGGGAATCACAGAGCTGTGCATCTACGCGTTTGAGGCAGCCCTTCTGAAGGAACATGTTGAAGAAACAGAAGGACAAGGGGAGAATGAGGTTCCGGCACCGTCTTTACCCCCGCTGCCCCGTGTGTTGCACAAGCTAAATGTGCTATTTCAGGCGTCTCAGATGGTGCATCCGGATGCAGAAAGACATACAGGTTTGTGTCTCAAGTGCATTCCCTTTCCCCTTTGATGATGATTCACTAACACCGGTTTCAGGGCTAAACAACTACATACTCGAACGCGAATCGAAGTTAGACGATAACTCTGCTCAGATGATCCTTAACTTTGTGAAGCATTTGCCGTCTCCGGTGTGCCTGGTGGCTCACAATGGCTGGCATTTTGATTTTCCTATCGTAAGGAAAGCATTTGCTAATCTAAATCAGGAATTCCCACCTACTGTGACTTGCCTGGACTCACTTCGTGCCTTTTTGGAGATCGATGACAAGCATTCCCGTGAAGAAGGACTTATGAAAATTCCCCAAAGCTTGTCCGTGAAGGTGGAGGAACCTGAACCTCTGAATTATTTTCTGAAAATCGAAGGGGAGGACGTTGATGAACCTCTGGTGGTGTCCGTGAGTGACCAACTGGAGGAAACTGAGCCCACAAAGAAAATTGACTGGCGATTGCTGAATGAAACCACTCCAAAACGTCCAATTCTGACCCCCATAGAAGCTGCTTCAAAGCGTAGACAAATGTCAGAGAGCGAGGATGATGAACTGGAGGCGTCGCCACCAGCTAAGCGAACACTGGGCTCTCGTCGGAAACTATTCAGCGGCCTAAAGTGTGCTGATAGAAAGCGTTTTCCACCCAAGGGCAAGTACAGTTTGGGATCACTGTTTGAAAGAACATTCAAACAGCCAGCAACTAATGCACATCAAGCTGAGGCGGATGTAGCCATGCTCACGTCGCTTATCCAACATTACGGCATGGATTTCCTGGCCTTTGCGGAGGAGCAAGCCATTCCATTCAGCCAAATCACTCCACTTGGCTCACCCCTACGACGTAAATGCTAGCTAGCAGCTGTGGAATTCAATATTTTATAAGGCATGGCATGTAGAGTCGTCGAGCCATTGCAGAATGAATTTATGAATTCGTTTTTTATATTGTATATTTTTTAACATGCATTTGGTTTATATTTGTGTGACTTTGGGACCTGGAATAAAGTTGTATATTACAAATACGCCTTTTGCAGCTGTAGATATGACTCAAAATTTACGAGCATTTAAACTATTAATCTTAATCTAATCAAAAGTGCATAAAAAAACTGTTCGTAAGATAATCTTATTGAGAAATGTATTAACCTTTCAGCGCTTCCTAAACACCACAGATGTTACCACACTGCCTACCTTGCCACCAAATTTGAATGTCGGTGTTGGTATAGTGTGGTGTTTGATGAATTTGTCAGCAAAGCTCTGAACCAACTCATCCTCTGTCCAATTGCAGGATGTAATTATAAAGAGACTGTCGCTGTCGTGCAGCAAGTGCTCCACCGTGGCAAGATATAGTGAACGCTTCTCCTTGGCGTTGTCGGGACAGAGGCTGACGGCATCATAGGTGCCCTTATCGTGCACAACTTTGTAGCTGCCCAGGTTTGTCTGGGGTAGAGTCAAGTCCGCCACATTATAGCTGATGGTTAGATCATGGTCCTTGGCAATGCTTTTGGCCAACTCAATTGCCTTTGGGGAATAGTCCACACCAGTTAGCTGGGCGTAACCTTCATTTGCCAGCGCCACGAGAAACATCCCATTGCCGCAACCCAGGTCCAGGACACGTGCAGTTTGCTTGTCAATTTGCTCTTGCTTTAGCAGCCAGTCCACAACACGTTGCTGTGAATCCTCGTCAAACCATATCTCACCCACGTCTCCGTGGCTTTTGTAGTTTCCAATTTCACGTGTATAGCTCGATTCCCAATATTCTTTGGTGCCCAATTCCGATCCATCTAGTTCAGCGTCTTCCATCGTAGATAAAGAATGATAATTGTTTTATTTTGATTGGGTTTACTTTACTGTTCAGCTGTTCACGGATGCAGTGTTGCACAGCATTCCCAGTGTTCAGTGCTAAATGTTGTAATTTGATTTGGTCACACTAGCAATTTTCTTACTACCTGTTCGGAATTTCAATTTGTTATTTAAATAGAATAAACGTCATTTAATTTATATAGTTTATAATTTATTGATTTACATGATAATCGATTTCTCAGACAACTACAATGTAATTTGTGTATTAATACATTATTAATATTAATAGCTTTAAAGTTAACTAAATTACATTTTCTGTCTCATTCAAATATTCAATCAGTATCTCTCTATAGTTTCGTATCGCTATAGTTATGTATATATAAAAGTTATAATGCACTATGCACATAAAACAAATCCCTTTTGTTTGTTTTGTATTCTTATCTTCACTTTAAACTTAACGATCGCATTTCCATCAACGCTTCCTGTCCAATTGCTTGTTGTGTTTATGTTACATATATTGATATATAAATATAGTGAGAATTTCTTATTTGTTGTTTTAAAAGCTTTCAAAAGACTTGGTTTGTTTTTTCGCTTAAAGGGACACGCCACACCTCGCACCGCACCACACAGCTGTCAAGCAAAGCTTCTGCCACAAGCAGCTGTACACAGTCGAATAAAATAGAATACAATTAATAATGCATAATTAAATTAAAGCCTATGATTACACACAGAATTAATATGTAGGTAGGGTAGGTATACTGCCCCATGCATGACAATAGTGGCTGATGCACTGTGCGATGCACGTCGGTTGGTTGATTGGTTATTTGTTTACAATATACACTTAACTCATAAATTGATTAACTGATAGATAGACATTACTTTTACATATCAGTAGTACGCTATGCTACCACCTGTATTGTATGCAGGCCTCCTTTCATTCCTCCTCTGATGTGATTGTTACTTGTGTTGCTGTGTCCACAGAGGCTTAATTCTACTTTTAGTTTTAGTTCTATGTACAGTTGATGACGCTTTGGCGCTTCTCACGTCTGCGTACGTCGCTCGTAGTCGCTGCGTCGATAGTCGGCTGGATATTCGCGTGGCATCATGGGATACCCACGCGGATCGCTGCGGTATCCTGGCGGTGGAGGTACGATCCCTGGCACAATCCCATTCGGCATGTAATAGTTCGTTGGCAGATAGTGGCTCGGGTAGGCATGAGGCGGCAGGTGTGGCGGATATCTGCAAAGAACAAACTTATAACGAGAAATGTCCTTAAGTATAGCGTGGCGGTCATACCTTCGCTTGTCGGGACGACGGTCGCGTTCACGCTCGCGATGATCCCGATGGTAGCCTCCGGGAGGTCCGCCGCTGCGTGGATAGCCAACTTCATAGCGATCGCGTTTATACTCCAAGCTGTACCTGCAGTGTAGGCGAAAATATTGATATTAGAACAATTCTGTGGGCATCATCAGTCTGGGTGTGTTACCGTTCTCTGGCATGCCAACGCTCCAGGTCCGGCGTGTAGCCCGATGGAGCAGGCAGTGTCTCGTAGCTACCACCGCCTCGAGCACTGCGGCTATTCGGCGTCGAAGGAGAGTTCAGGCCCGCGCGGCGTGCATTGCTACTGCTGCCTTCATAGCTACCCGGCGGTGGAGCTCCACTGCTGCCGTAGTATTCGCTGCTGCGATGATGCTTCTTACGCTCCTCGTGACGCTCCATGTTCTGACGCTTAAAGGACATGGACTTGAGTTGGTCGCTGATTCCGGCGCCAACAATCGCCACGCTACCTCCGCCGCCATCAACATCGTTCTCGTCTCGCTTTCTCTTCAGCGGCGAATCGTTGGCAAAGCGACCCGAAGAGGGCGTTCCGCCATCCGAGTAACGCGACTGTCCCGCACGCTCCTTATCCTTATCTTTCCGCTTCTTCTTGCCGCTCTTGTCCCGCTCCCTCTCCCTGTCTTTGTCCTTTGCTTCCGCTGGAAGACCGTTGCTGCGTCGATTCTTGCTGGGACTCACCGAATCCTCCTTGGAGCCAGCTCTGCTCTTGGCCGACTTGCCACCCGACTCCCGACCATGCTGCTGCTTGAGCGCATGCTTGTAGATCTTGAACAGATGCTTGGCATCCAGCTCCGTGAACTTGGACACAAAGTACCACAGATTGCTGCGCCATTCCTTCTTCTCCGAATCGCCATACGGCTGCAGACACACATCGATCTGACGGCCGATCTGCAGCAGGCAATCCCGCGTGTGCTGCATCTGATCCTGATCGGACAGACTCAAGTCGGGCTGATCCAATGCCTTCAAGGCCTTCTTCACTGGACGCATTTTCTCCTTGCATTCGTTGAAAATGCTCGGATCTAAATCGCCCAGCACCTCCAAGGCTCGCGGCTCATTATTGGCCGTAAAGTGCATCGGCTTGTTGCCATTGTTGTCCGAAGCGCTCGTCTTCTTTGATCTGGTTTTGGACTTTTTAGTCTTCTGTGCAGTGACGGCTCCTTCTGAGCCAGCAGTCTGATGCGGGGAAGCTGTATAGGAGGGATCCAGATGGCTGGAACTATTATCCAGTGCCCCACGACCGCCGTCGGCTGTTTCCTCGGCCTCGGCCAGAGCTTTGCCCTCGGCCGTAGCGCCAGACGCGGTGTTGTTGCTGCCTGCCTTCGATTCTGCGTTGATTCGCGCAGCTCTGGGCCGACGCTGGCGCTTCTGTCCGCCCTTCTTCGTCAGCTCCACGTTCTTCTTGATGATCTTGAGCAGGTACTCGGCCCGGGTCTGCAGCTGTTTGGCCTGCGGCTTGCGCGTGTCGTTCAGCAGAATCTTGTCGGTAAGCTTAAGAGTGGGATCCAGCTTCATCTGCTCCCACGAACCGATGCCGTACTGGTAAATGCCGCACAGTAGTTTGGTGTCCTCTTCGTTGCCCCATTCCACATCGAAGACGGGCGCACGCGTCTTAATGTTGAATGTCCACTGCTGCCTTTCCGCCGCTGCACTGGGTATGATCTCGTTGAGGGGCTGCAGCTCTTGCTCGGAGGTCAGCAGCTTTTTGGCATTGAAGGATACGCCCCCGAGCTTCACAGAGTAGGTGGCACGTGCGCGCCGCTGCTTGGCCCCCGGAGTGTCGTCCGGCACAGTCTTTAGCTCTTCCTCCTTGTGCTCCTCCAGGAACTGGACGCACCGATCGTGCAGCATTTCGCCGAGTCTCTTCAGCTCGGCCAGTGGCTTCTCCTGCAGCTCGGCATCGCACGCAATCGCCTCCAGGCGGTGCAGCGGGGCGGGGAACTTCTTGTAGCTGCGTATGAAGCGACGCAGCTCGGCATCGGTGAAGCCGGTGATCTTCTCCTTCATTGTCGGACGTCCGCGCTTGCGTGGACGACCTTCATCACCGCTGGCATCGGAGCCCAGCTCATACTCGGAGTCGCCAGAGTCGTCGGCCTGCTTGGCACGCCCACCTTTACCGCCGCCGCGCTTCGTTTCGTTTTGATTTGCCGCCGCCGTCTTCCTTCTGGGCGGCAGATAGAGATCTTCCATTTCTTTGGCCTTCTCCTGATCCTCGATGACCTTGCGAAAGCCCTCAGGAATAATGTCATCCCAGTCTTTGCTGTCGTCCTCCGCATCATCCCCAGCGTCCGTATCTTGTTTGTTCGATTCGCTTGGCTCCTCCTCGAAGGTCGCTATGCTGGCCACCTTGAACGCGGACAGAAGATCATCGCCCGGCATCTCTGGATCATCGTTGCGGGTCTCTGCCCTACGCAGAATCTCATCAATGTCGCAGACCAGCTCGTGTTCGTCGTGCTCCGGCTCGTCCTTGAAGAGTTCCTCGGCGCCAAACTTCAGTATGGCAGAGAGATCATCCTTGTTGAATGGATTGGAGTTCGATGAGTGACCGTTGCCACTTTTATCCAGAACCGTGCGACCCGTGGTGTCCATCCGCTGAATGACAAGGTGATCCAGGACCATCTTCTGCTTGGCCCGCTCCACAATTTGCTCCTCGACAGATCTGGCCGTGACCAGACGATAGATATTCACTTGATTCTTTTGCCCAATGCGATGTGCCCGAGCCTGGGCCTGCAGATCGTTCTGTGGATTCCAGTCAGAATCGAAAATAATGACCGTGTCGGCTGTGGCCAGATTGATGCCCAGACCGCCGGCTCTGGTGGATAGGAGAAAGCAAAAGTCTTGGCTGCCCTCGGCATTGAAATGATCGAGCGCCTGGCGACGCATCTCCCCCTTGATGCTGCCATCGAGGCGCTGAAAGGGAAAGTGACGCTTCTGCAGGTAGTCGGCCAGGACGTCCAGCATGCGGACCATTTGTGAGAATATGAGCACCCGATGACCCGTCTCCTTAAGTCGACACAGCAGCTTGTCCAACAGCACCAGCTTGCCGGAACCCTTGAGCAGCGTCTGCAGTGCCTCGTCCTGCTGCAGGCCCATCAGCTCAAACTCCGAGGGCCGGATCAGTGCCGCATGATTGCAGCACTTCTTCAGCTCGATGACTATGTTCAGGAAGGTGGAGGTGGAGCCCTTCTTGCCCTTGCGCAACGCATCAAAGTTCTTGGTGAGAATCCATTTGTAGTATTGCTTCTGCAACGAGGTCATCTCCACCCTCAGTATCTGTTCCACTTTGGCGGGCAGTGACTTCTCCACATCCTTCTTCACACGCCGCAGGATGTACGGCTCCAGCTGCTGGTGCAGTCGCGTGTAACCCTTGTCCTCGGCATTGCCGTGCTGCAGCTCAAAGTTGTCCCACGTGTCGAACTTCTCGGGCATGATGAAGTGCAGCAGAGCCCACAGCTCCTTGAGGGAGTTCTGCAGCGGTGTGCCCGTGATCAGCAGTCGATGGTTTGTGTCAAATTCCTTGAGCGACTTGTACAGCAGGGAATCATCGTTCTTGAGGCGATGCGCCTCGTCCACCAGCAGCGCTGCCCACTGCAGTGTGCCCAGAAACTGCTTGTCCTTGAGTACAATCTCATAGGTGGTGAGGATGCAGTTAAATTTCAGTCTTTTGGAGCCCTCAAATTGCCACTCGTACTGCTGGATCATCTCGCGGGACTTGATGTCGCCCAGATAGGTGACCACATTCATGTCCGGCGCCCACAGATCGAACTCCCGCTGCCAGGCAGTCATCGTGCTGAGGGGCACCACACAGAGGAAGGGCCCGTACAGGTGGTGCACCTTGAACAGGGAGTAGAGGAAGCATATGGTCTGTATTGTCTTGCCCAGGCCCATCTCATCGGCTAGTATGACAGAGTTCTCCTTGGCCCATGAGTGCAACAGCCAATTGAGGCCGTCCATTTGATAATCCCTGAGCACCAGGCCCGCTACCAAGTAGTCTGGCTGATTCTTGATGCGCGAGAACTTCGGACGATACTTGAGGACGCGACAGTGACGCGAGGGTGTGCACTTGGAGGACTCCCTGTCGTGGAACTGCTCGGCACAGCGCTGCCACTTGCGCAGCACCAGCGTGGCATCCTCCCAGGTGGCCTCGGCATACGGCAGCGATTGCCACTTGCAAAGGAACTCATCGGTGCCGACATCCGGCTTCGATCCCTTCGCAATGATCCTGTCCACATTGTTGTACGACTTGAGAAGCTCGTGCTGCAGCTCCATCTGGCACTCAAAGTAGTCAATGTCCTCGGGGCCAGCGTAGCGTCGCCAGTAGGCCTGCTCCTGTTCCTTCTTGATGAAGTTGTCCAACTTTTTCATGCCCTTGGCCTTCATGTCGCGCAGCGTGCGCTCCGATTCCCATGTGTTGTGGATATACGACCAGCCTTTCCATTTGATCAGGAATTGCTCCTCTTCCTCCTGTTCATCGGCGTCCGTTTCAGCCACCTTTTCCACCTCTTCTGCCTTTGCTTGGGGTTCTTCGATGGCATAGATTGTCGTCTTGTTACCCGTGCAGCCCCTTCTGCCCATGCGCTGTGCCAGGATCCGTTCAATGGTCTCACATTTCTCATCTTCCACGGCAGCTGCGGCGGATGCTGCCGCCTGTGTCTCATCGTATTCGCACTCCAGCAGATCCTCCGAGTCGGTGGCCTCGTCTTCAGACGCCTCCTTGTAGCTAACCGCGGCACCTGTGCGACGTGTGGCACAGCTGCACAAAAAACGGGGAAGGGAAATATTAGTTTTAATGCTGCAAAGGCAACTGCAACTGCAAATTGGTGTACCGCTTGCTGGCGTCATCATCGTCGCTGTCCTCAGAGCTGAAGGACTTTACACGACGTCGCTGTGGCTGCAGCTGTGGCACTGATTTACTCCTCGAGGTAGTGGCTGGCGCCGGCTTGCGCTTATGGGCGGACTCATCATCGCTGTCGTCGCTCTCATCGCTTTCGTCCGAGTCCCAGCTAAAAACGACAAACCAAAATATCACAAAAGGCTCCGCAATCCACAAGCAAAAAGCCGTACGTTTTCTTTTTCTTCTTGGGTGGCGGCGCTCGCTTCGATTTGTCGGGTGCGGCGGTTGGTGGCTTGCGCGCCTGGCGCGTACGCTTGGGTCTATAGTCCTCCTCCTCATCCTCCTGTGCGGATTAAGGCCAAGAGAAATATTCAAGAAACTACAGAGTCAACATTCTGTGTGTGTGTTTGTGTGTATTGCAGGCCCCGACTTACGCTGCTGCTGCTTGAGGATGTGGGCGATGCATTGGCAGAACTATCACTGGCATCATCATCATCGGCAGAGGCATCCGCTTGCTCCTGCTCCTGCTGTTGCTGTACAGTTTCAGTCTCTTCATCGTCATCGTCGTTCTCCTCCTCTTCGTTCTGCTGCGGCGGCTTTGTGGAGCTGCTGCTGCTGCTGTTGGTGCTCGTGCTCGTGTTCGCGCTGAGCTTGCCGCCAGTTGCTGTCTGGTCTCCGCGTGCTCTGTTTTCCTCCGGCTCCGAATCGGAGTCGCTGCCACTTGAGCCGCCACTGGAACTCTCCTCCTGATCGTCTGTGAAGCCATTTGTCTTACTGTCCGCCTGTGCAGCAGCTGCTGTTGGTGGAAAACCCGCCACCGATGTACTTGTTGATTTGTTGACATCCGGCTCCGGAGAGCTTCGTCCATCGCTGGAATTTCCCGAGGAACTATCCGTATCTGAGTCTGATCCGGAGGAGCCACTGCCGCTGCCACTGTCACTGTTGTCCGTGCCGTTTGCCTCATCACGTGGTTCATCGTGTTCGTCTGAGCCAATACTATTCGCCGATTCATTGAGTGCCTGAAGGAACAAGCAGGAACAAAAGCACACAAAATAGTTAGCAAATCAACCGACACGACACGACACGACATACATTCGGGAAACTAAAAAGTAATGAATTGAGCAAGGACACGCAAACTGCAACCGCTAATCCTGCCCAGAATTACACTGGGAAGATTCGTTTCTATGCAATTTGTACTTGAAACTATTTGAGATTGGAAAGCAGCAGACCAAAGTGCACTTCTAGCCCACAGTCCACTCTCCAGCTACACTTTACTGCCTTACTTGCGCTCGACACCCACCCAAATCCTCTTCAGAACTCGGCCCAAGCTTGTAATGCCAAAAACCGATCTAAAATGCAGAAAGTTCTACAGAATTTTTGTTTATCCAGCTAGATATAGCCTGTAGCTAGCCTAAACCGAGTGAACACAGGTCGGTTAGGGGGTATTCTACTTGCATTAGTGCACCTAATCCTGTCCAGAAATCTTCAAACTGCTTAGACGTTCGATTTGTAAGGAATACAGCAAAATAGCAACAAACTGTGAGGGTTCCTTGGAGGTTTAAGCAGATCTCTTATGGGTTATGCACAGGAAAACGCGACAGTGCCAAGCAGACACAAATCCTTGTAGGAAAAACGGGGAAATCCTTGCAAAATCAGCGGGTTTTGGTACTCATGGCACGATCTTTCCCAACAGAAACCTTCCAAATGTCCGAAAAATGGATTTTATTCCAGTAAAATAAATTCGAATCTATTTTTTTTAAACAAATTTGGATGAAATTTGAGGAATTCATTAGCCGGCTACCTTTTGGCGGGGTGAAAACCCAAGGAATTTGGCCAGAGATCCAGTTGGAACAACTTTGCACCCAACAAATTTTGATTACGTAATCGATGAAAATTTTCAATTTAATGCGAAAAACAATCAAATGCAGACATTTTGAAGGATTTTGATAGCCGGATTCGATGAAAACAAACCGAAATGGTAAAATTTAAACAAAATTTGCGAAAATGGGTACCCAATGGATTCGCATAAAATCCACTCTCACTGCCACGTCAAAGCCTCAAGAAGGGTTTGGCATCGTCAAAATTGTGAAACATTGACGGTATAATGGTTAAAAAGTGAATTTTCACCAAATGTCCAACTTGCAGCCACATAAATCGACAGCAAAGTGAGGGTGTCTCGGAACGAGGGGGCTCCTACGGGGGCCGACTCCCAGGCCAGGCGTGTAGCCACACCCACAGCACGGAGCATATTTTTTGAAAATCTCACTTTTGTTTTAGTTAATACTCACTAGACGACCGGATTTACACTGACTTGAACCGCCTTGCTGAGAATAATGTACCAAATTCATATTTTCGATTTCCCACTTTTCAAACACACACCGACGTTCACTGTCACTACTTTTTCAAGGCCTACTTACCTGGCTCATTATATTTTTGTGGTAGCACACAGAGTTGCCGTGCAGCGCTCATTAAATACATGCAATACACTTTTATACGTTTAGCTGGGCAAATGTTTATGTGGTCCTTGCAGCAAGCCACTTGTTTTTAAATGCAGTTTTTTCAACACATAAAATATCACGTCGTCTTCGTCTTTCTTTCAATAAAAAATACGCCATTTTGTTTTAAGGGCTGGCAAAATTGCGATTTTAGAGTTGCATTTGCACTCGTTCAGGCTTCCTTCTATATCGCATAGAATATATCGGTTCAATTGGTTCAATTTATAATTAATAATTACTTACAACAAAAAACTACATAAAAGCCATTATATTTAGTACGATTTTGTTTTCCTGTGGTGACTTCCCTGCATTTCTTCAGAGACACCTGTTACATACTCTGATCATGACATTTTCTCAGTACATTTAAAATACTATTCACCTATTCTCCTTGTAAATTTAATACAAAGCTCGCATATCCTATAGCACATAGCAATTAAAAATATATAATAAAATTAAAAAGTAAAATAAATTAATTTTAAAACTATCGTGAACCCGTTCACAAGAGTTTAAAATTAAATTCAATACTCGTGTATCGATAGGTAAATTCAACATCTCTAGTGGTGCCAGTCAGCTGTGCTGGAGTTAGCCACATACAAAAAGTCAACTAATTTCTTTATCTTTTTGACATGTAGCGAAGCTGGACAAAAAACGCAATATGAAAGAAGTGGGCATATCTCTGCCCAAGTCTCGAGGCGTGGGTGTAGGAATAGTCGCTGCGCTCTTGTTATGCTTCATTTTCTACTACTTTTATGGCGGTTACATGACTTTTTTGCTCTTTGCTTCCATTCTCCTGTGTGCGTACACAAATATACAAGTAAGTAATGTTAAAAGATAGTCAACGACTAACAGTTTTGTTTCTCTTGCAGTAATATTCTACTACGCCCAAGACTTGCTACTGTATCATCCGGACTTGCCAACCCATTCTCGCATTTACATACCCATTCCGACGATTCACAACTTGCCGCACATCACAGTCAGCATCAAAACGCCCGACGATGTTACGTTGCACGCGTTTTGGATAAGCCAACCAGAGGAGCGCTGCAAGTCCGTTCCCACATTGCTTTACTTTCACGGCAATGCTGGCAACATGGGACATCGCATGCAAAATGTTTGGGGCATTTATCACCATCTCCATTGTAACATTCTGATGGTAGAGTATCGGGGCTATGGCCTGTCCACTGGCGTACCCACGGAACGCGGCCTGGTCACCGATGCGCGTGCTGCCATTGACTATCTCCACACACGCCACGATCTGGATCACTCGCAACTTATCCTCTTTGGGCGCTCTCTAGGCGGCGCCGTCGTTGTCGATGTGGCCGCCGATGCTGTCTATGGCCAGAAGTTGATGTGCGCCATTGTGGAGAACACATTCAGCAGCATACCGGAAATGGCTGTGGAGCTGGTGCATCCGTCTGTGAAGTACATACCAAATTTACTCTATAAGAATAAGGTGGGTTCATTTTTCGTGCCTACAAAATGGTCATTGACTTCTCAATTCTTGTTTCTTCCTTAGTATAACTCTCTGAATAAGATTGGCAAGTGTTCGGTACCATTTCTGTTTATATCGGGCCTTGCGGATAACCTAGTGCCACCGCGTATGATGCGTGCCTTGTATACCAAATGTGGCAGTGACCTGAAGCGTTTGCTCGAGTTCCCTGGAGGCTCGCACAACGACACCTGGATAGTGGATGGGTATGGCGAGGGAAGAACGAATATTTGTAAATCCTAATTGCTTTCGTTTCCCAGGTACTATCAAGCAATTGGGCAATATTTGTCCGAGTTACAAGAGGTGCCATTGCCACTGCAGAAACCTCCTGAGAAGAGCAATGTGTGGGTCGAGCTAGAGCAGGAGCATAAAATCATTGATGTGTAGGCGGCTCCTTGGCCACTCCTGGAGCACAAACAACGTGTTCTATTGACTGTGTTAGCACTGCGAATGGTTTAATACTTATACATCTTATTATATAGTCTACTATATATGTCTTTATATAACAAGATTTTAATCTAAAACTTTGCTTTAATCTATGTTGTATGTTTGCTGAATATGCCAGAACGTGCTGGCGGATAGTTGCATACAGAAAACAGTCTGCCACATCCATAAACAAAATTCAGTTATCCAAAGTACAAGAATCAGTATTTTAACAAAAGAACAATACAAATTTTCCTGACTGATTGTTCTGGCAGAAGGTTTATCCCTAGCACGTTTGAACTTTTGCGGCAGCTCCACATTTTTTAATGTTAAAACTATTGTAATTTTAATTGTTAAGAACGAGGAGCAGCAGATTGAGAGAAACAAATAAATGTGAAACAATCGCTAGAAACCAACAAAATCCTCATCAGCACTGTCATCGCTCAGTGGCGTCGCTGAACGCTTTCGTCGCTGGCTCTCCGGCTTCACCTCTGCCTCCACTGGTGATTCCGCTGCAACTGCCTGCGACTGTGATCGATGATGAAACACAAACGAAACGCATTTACTGTCCGTCCAGGCTTGGGCGAGTATGTCGTCTGGCAGGCCGCGGTTATTGGAACAATGATACCACTGCGACAAATGCGAGGTGCAGTCCGTGTCCTCCGGCGGCGGCTTAGTTTGTACATTGCCAACACAGCGTTTGCATTTAAGTCTGCAAAGAACAAAGATTGCGCGGTGAAACGATGCAGAAGGCTTCAGCTTGTTCCTACTCACTTGTCGTGCGTGTCGGACAGAATGTTTGGATCAAAACTAAACAAATCCTTGAGGTCGTCGCGCGTGAAATGCTTCTCGGACGATTCGTTGTTGTCGATGATCGTGCTGGACAGAGATTTCTTGTGGGTCTGCCGCTGCAAAATTTTCTCCTCTATGGAGCCGCTCTGAAAATATCATCAGTTATCCATTTATAATTCTTGGGAAAATATTTCAGCTACTTACCGCCACCAGACGATAGATGTAGCAGGGTTTCTTTTGTCCATCACGCCACACTCTGGCCATGGCCTGCTCATCGTTTGCCGGATTCCAGTCCGGATCGAACATGAACAGGCGATTGGCTCCTATCAAATTCAGTCCGCAGCCGCCCGCCTTGCTGCTCAGCATGAAGAGGAAACAATCAGAGTCCGGGTCATTGAATCTGTCCACAACTTTCGAGCGTTTCTTTATGGACATTGTGCCGTCTAGCCGCACAAATCCATACCTGCGCTTGCGCGCCAGTTGCTCAAATAGATCCAGAGTCTGTGTGTAGTTTGAAATGAGCACGACCTTGTCGTTGCCACTGGCACGTATGGCGGCAAGCATAAAGTCAAGCAGCATGAACTTTCCACTCAGCGCTGGATTGATATCTCCTCTGTGAATGGAAAATGGAAGGGCATTAGCTAGCACCTCTATATATATCAAAAATAATCATACTTGGTCTTGTAGTTGCTGGGAAGTATATTCTGCGAGTTCTCAAAGCCTTTTTCTCCTGCTGCAATCTTTTCTGCGATCAGATCTGGATGGCTGCATATTTTCTTGAGGGTTGTGATGTCTGCCAAAGCCGTGAGAGAAGCCTTCTCATTGCAATCTATAAGGAAAGTCAGAGAAATAAAGCGAAAGTGCTACTGAAGGTAACCACCTACCTGCCAGGCTACGCCGAACTTTATCTGATTTGAGAAAATTCGTGTAGAGCTGCAGCTGGATGGACGTCAGCGTGGCACAGATTACCATCTCAAACTTGACGGGCAGATATTTGGTGAGTATTTGATTGGTGCGCCGAATGATGCACTGATCGACAAGCTTGATCAGCTCCTGGGTTTTCGCTAAGGCCCGTTCCCGCTCCTTGTCCGTGGAGTCAGCGTTCTGGCCACGCAGAATGCAGTTTTCAAAACTGCGCTTGAAGTCCGCTGCCGTGCCAAGCATCTCCGGATTGACAAAGTTCACCAAACTGAAGTACTCCGTGAGATCGTTCTGTATGGGCGTGCCAGAGAGCAGGACGCGTCGCTTTGTCTTGAGGCCCATTAGGGCCTGGTAGGTGAGATTGTCGCTGTTCTTCAGCCGATGTCCCTCATCGCAGATGACCATGCCCACCTCGTACTTGCAGAGGATTTCTGCGTAGATTCTGAAGGTCTCATAACTGATGAGAAGAACGGGCGTTCCGAGTCGCGTAGAGGCATTCATTGAGAATTGTTCGAGGGCTCGCACGGTGTTCTCCTTGGAGCCACCCTCCATGGCCAGGCAGTGCATTCGGCCGTGCAGCCACTTGGTGAACTCCTTCTCCCAGTTCTTAACCAGCGACGAGGGCGACACAATGATGCACTTGTTGATAGTGGGCTTGCAATCAGCGCTCTGCTTCAGCAGCGTCCACACAAGGGTCACGCACTGTAGGGTCTTGCCCAGGCCCATTTCATCGGCCATTATGCAGCCATTGAAGTTGCCTCGCTTTCCCTCCACACACTCGTACATGAAGCGAACGCCCTCGCGCTGATGGGGACGCAAAACATTGCTCAGCAGGGGATCCACCACGACGTGTACCTTAATTGATGTAGGATCCATCGACAACCGTTCGTTCTCGGTGTAGTTGGGTGCATGGTACAAAACTAAGGCATTGCAGGCCAGCGGGTCGTGCAGAGGTCGTCTCACGATGCAGCGACGCACGCCGAGACAACGATTCCCGCCGTAGTCTGGCACATAGTTGTCAATGGGCACTTGGAATTTCCTGGCCAACACTTTGGCAATCGCCCTTTCATACTCGCTATTGGCTGTGAAGCGTATGGGCAGTGGTATGTCCGATGTGTTGGTGGCATCCCGCAAGGCGCTCTGGCGTATGCGATCCTGTTCCAGCTGCTGTTGGCAAGCGCGTTTGTTTTTCTTGAGCAGTGGTGGCGTAAAATCATTCCGGGAGTCGGGTCGTTGTCCCACCCGTTGACTGGGAGCCAGGCTGCGACGCTACAATTGAAAAACGGGTTAAAAATGCATTTGTTTCTTCCATTTTCATTATTACCATTTTCAGATGTTTAAAGGTTGCAGCGCGAACAGATCAGCTGCGTATTCTACATTGTGTTTTACTTTACTTTTACATCAGCTGCAGGTGTCTCTGTGTCAGCATCATCCCTGTGTACTTGACGTGTAGATTGTGCTAAATTGGACATTCCGTGTTTACATACTTCTCCCGCCTGATTCATAAATTCAGAAATATCGTTTTTGTATACACACATATGTAGCTAAACTAATAACTAATATATGGTTTATATACGCTCTTTTAGAGCGTTTCTTCGTTGGCACCTTCGCTTTCTGGCTTGCCGATCCTCGATCGAGTGTTTACACTTTTTCAGGGGATCTTCATTAGAAGTATGGGCTGCTGAATGTCTGTACAATATGCACACAGAACACAAACTGACCGGAGACAGTGATGGCTACGCAACGCAAGGGACAGCTCCGGCTAACTGTAAGCCATTTGTCACGCTGGTCAACGACTGAAATGAAATAGGATCACCTGGAACTGACTTTTCTGAAGTCTTCTTGGTACGATTTGTGTTGTTTGGACTCATCTTCTTGCGTAAGTTGTTTTCTCATCTACACAACAGTGCTCCGAACCACGAGAGCTAACTTTCTTTAGGATGGAAGAATCGACTGGAAGAATTCAGGATTCCACGTTGTTCATATCTTATGCATGAATCACTCCAATAGCAATCGAACTGATTTCAAGAGATGTCATTGTTGGTTTATAGTAAGGAAATGCAAATAAATTGCACAGATTTTAATTAGTTTTGATGTTGTTTTTTTTATTTTATACACGAGAATTTGTAAAATTAATTGTCATACATACAATACATAATAATTAAATTGATTTTTGTTTTTATTAAATTACAAAATAACGACTATATTTGATTTGCTTGTTGCAGCTTTACACTCGCGGAATTTGTTCAACAAGTTTGGACACACAATCAATATTGGTTGGAAAAATCTATGTTTAAGTGTATAAGTAAAGTATATTATAGTATGTATTGCAATCTGGTGGCTTGTCTGTCAAGCAAAGATGATTTCGATTCGAGTTGTGGTATAGGTAAATAATACTTAACATTAAAACAATATAATTTCTTTATTATATTATTATTATTATTATATTATGCATATAAGTTCGACTTAATTTCATTTAGTTGCATACCTAAAGAGCACATATTGGAGTTTACTTAGTCAAGATTTTAGATTTATCTTTTTTGCTTTGTTTCGTTTCGAGCAGCTCTCTAGCTTTTAAAGCCCGGCATTAAGCTACGTAATTGTTGCCGTGGCTGACATTTGGATTCGGAAAGATACTCGTGGATGATTTTTTCACCAGCAATTACGTTGATTCAATGCAAGGCTCTGGGGCTCTCCTCCAATGAGTATTTCGGGATGGGCAGTGTTGGAAAATTCCCTTGATCTAAGTGTTGTATTTTGTATGACCACATTTTACATTAAAGCAGCTTTTAATTACATAAATATGCGTCTTCCTTGTTCGTTGTTTATTGTTTACTGCACTTCGCTATCACTATCACTCTTTTCTGCAATACAATAAATAAAAGAAAACAATGAATAAGGCTAAAGACCACATAAGCCACAAGCTAAAACACACCCTTCTTGCCCGTGTAGGCATGACGTTTCAGTCGATCGTATAAGTCTTCTTTAGTTCCATACAGCGAGGCATTCGACCTAGCTAGTGTGCTCATCTTGCCACCATGCAGACCTACAAAATCAAATGTAAATTAGACAAATAAATCTAACTCAAAAACGTTTCAATGCTTACCATCCTTCATGTATGTTTCGTTGTAGAAATTGGGCATTTCCCAGCCATCCTCCTCGTCGTCGTAGTAGTGTGCATAGGTGCTGTGGTGCGAGGGCGCTATGGACTCCGCATAGGGTGTGTGGGCGCCGTAGTAGAAGTTCACCTGCGAGCCCGTTTGGTCAATGGCGGGTGTGAGCATCTTCTTGGGATCGCGGCGCTTGGTTGAGCGCACACAAATCATCCAGATGAGCAGCACAATAATGATGATGAAGATCACTGCACCGGCAATGCCGCCAGCAATGT